GATTCCACATCGGTTGCTAGGCACAAATGACGCCATTGCATTTGATGATCTTCACAAGCTAGTTTTACAATAAACCAATAGAACTGAACTAGCCGAGGCCCGTCCCATATTTGATCTTTGGTCGGTGTGTAATTATAATCCAGTCCTTCAGCTGCCCCTTGCAACTTTTCGACTCGGTTTCCACTCGGTGGCTCACATCTTGGCATTTAATAAGAAGTTGGCCTTGAAGGCAGCGAGTTTCAAATTTGTGGATTCGGTTTCTAAGCCGCACTTCAGCCCCAGAACACAACACTTTGTGCCGAGTCTGTGTGATTAATGGGGTTTTGGTTAGAGCAGCCTGCGCTTGGCTTTGACACCGACTTCTACTTCACCGCAGCAAAGGGTTAAGCGGTATGAACCATAATATTCTCGGTAGCTAAGCTACCAAAGAATATTCCAGGTGGGATTAAGCTGGCTAACGTTTTTTGTGGGAAGCACATAAAAGGAGTTTTTGCAAAGGGAAGAGTGTAAAACGTTAGGCTTATGTTGAATATGTTAGTTACTTAACTCTTTCATGCCCGAATTAAATAAAAATTCTAAAGAATAAGTTGCTTGTAGGCTACAGTGGGCATAAATAAATAAACATTTTTAAAATTAATTTTTTGGTGCTCTTATTGCGGAATTAATAATAACACTACTCTTTTATCGGTTTTTCCCAACTTACTATACCTATTACAAAAAATTTTAAAAACTTTTAAATCAATCAATCTTTTTTAACAGTCAATAATTGCTTTAAAATTTGTGTTTCATTTTGCTCTTCTTAGAATAACTATTCGTTTTTAACTATAATGCTGGACTTCAAGCTTAAACATTTAAGGATATATTAATGTAAAAAAAAAATTGACAATATGGTAATTTAGGTATAGTAGAGTTGACACTCTCCCGGCACTTACAATACGATACTAAGCATACACACATATGTAGCACAGAATTAATTACAATTATCCACAAAAGTGGCAATTAATTAATGTCAACTAGGTTTGCAGCCTTGTTATGCTGGACATGTTGATGTCAGCACATTTGTCGCTGCAAATGAGAGGAAATGTATGCTCATGTTTCGGTCTGTAAATGTGGCCAAACTGGAGGCCGCCGATGCAGCATCGATCCGCACTAATTGCCATTAATCAGAGGCGTTTGTCTGCGAACAAAAAGGGGGGCGAAGTGGGGTGCCCATTTAGTCAGCTGATATCTCTATTCGGTCAGCAATTATCCGCTGCACTAGCGAGCCTAAGCCTTAAAGATCTCTCCCTCTAAGTTAGACCTCAACCTCAACCCACCCAGAAACAGAAACCAGAAACCACCGCCCCCTCAACCACTCAACCACATGACATGCGAGGCGGTTCCAATTTATCGTACTGAGAACGCTTGGCAGTCATTGGAAAAGCGATTCAACAAAATTTAAAACAATTTAGCTTATGTCACGTCTGCTCGCTGCCAAAAAGAGGGGGAAATTTGGGAGGGGGAAGACGTAGCGTTTCAAGCGCTTAGAACAAAGCGCCACAAATTGTATTGTGTCACGCTCGATCTGTGGCCATGCGAACGGGGATATAAGCCCCACATATTCATATGTATGTCCACTAAGGCTATATAAACATATATGTGTCTTTGCGAGCACTTATAGATATAACTCTGTGGCACATAGTCATACATATGCTATTTATACGTTTATTCATTTAGTTTGCCTGTTTTAATTATAATTAACGCCGCAATGTAAATTAACCAGCGGAAAGCGAAGCATCCGAGGTTCTTTCGCTTATCCCAATGGAAAATAGTTACTTTGCATTAGTTGGGAATATCAAAAATGATCATTAAGTAATGCTTTCGTTTAGATAAAAATCATTTGGGTTAACTGCTTCTTCGGCGTGTCTACATCATCACGCACACCCAACACACAACTAGAATGTCATGACAAAAACGTATAAAACTAAAGCGAAAGCTTCGTTTTGTCTATCTTGATTATAGGGCAATGAGTTTGTTCTAAGAATACGCTTTTAATTTAACAATGCTTATGTTAACTAGCTATATTCTTAGGTTTTCCCAACATTTTTCAGCTTTTTAATTAAATTATTTTCAAAATTAAAACAATCTGGGTTAATAGGTATATAAATATAATCCCAAAATCATCTTTTTTTAGGGTCAAAATATTAAACTGATCATAGGCAAATAAAACCTTATTAAGATTGATTTATATTGAAATATCAATTTTAAGGTAATTTGATTTACAGGAAACCAAAAAGAAATAAATAACAAAAAAAACTTCAATTAACTGTATAAACAATCCAGTTTAAAACATTATTAAAAAATGAAACATACAATTATTAGGTTTTAACCTACATGAGTTGTTCTAAGTTCCACACCTTTTATAACGCACATTTATATTAAATTTGGACTAATTTTGGGCCATTATTTCAGCCCCAGCTGATTGCCATTTTATGCCATTCGGATGACGTGCTGAAAGCCTTGTGAGCAGGTTGTCAATCAGGTTGTCGCACACACATCCCGAGCGGCGCCTTAATAATTGATCCCGCCTGCAGCTGGATGACGATGATGATGGCAGTTGAGTGGGTCGCATAGGATGGTCTGCTACACGGAGAGAAAAAGCGACATGATATAATGATCAATGTAATTATTTCTATGATTTAAGAGACTTATGGCTGTGATAGAGACTTTATATGTATAATTATAAAATAGACAGACAATATATAATACATAAAATACATATCGAACTGATTTATTTTCGGTATGAGGTGCCGATGATGATGGCAGTTAAGTGAGTTATATGCGATATAATATGATGATATAGTATGATTATTTTTATGATTTAGGAGACTTATGGCTGTGATAGAGATGTCTACACCGCTTTACTTTTCCAACATACTTGTATTCATCATAAGCAAATATGAGAAATATAATATATAAAATAAATATTATTTTCTGTGTAGGGGATGGTATAGGTGGTATTCAGTGGGGCTGACAGGCACCGAATCCAGCGACCTCAGCGACTCCAGCGATGCCAACTCCAACTGGGCCATGACGTGAGGCGAACGCATCAGAGTGGAGCCCAAAGGAAGCGTGTGAAATCCCATTTGGCTAATGGCCAACGGCGTCAGCAGGAAAATCAACCTGTTTCGTAGTATCTACCCCTTCCACCCCCCACGACCGCCCCATTCCGCAAAACTGGGAAAACTCGCTTCCAATTTCCACAGCGTCACGGTGAATGTGGGCCAACCAGCATGTCTTTTGTGTTGGTGGGAAAACGGGTTTTTCATTCGGGTTCTGCAACAGCTTTTTTTTTTTGTATTTTTTTTTTTGGCGACTCCGACTCGCTGACACGCTGGCCTCCTTTTTCCGCCGTTCCAGCACTGGCACTCCTAGCTTTTTTCCACTTGCTGTGCTGCTGCTGTTGCTGCTGCTGCTTACTGTGCTGATTTTCCTCATTTTCCTGCAGCAGGATCGAGCTGCGGGAAAATCAGGGGAAAACGTAATGAGGGTGGGGAGGTTCTGGCCGCACCACTTCCAGGCGAGATTTTCCAATGGGGGTGACTGGGTGGCTCAACAGGGTGTGTCGGGGTCACCTTTGTTGCCTGCTTTTTTCGGGGGTGGTTGGTTGGCCATAAAACGAGGCGCTGGAGCTTGGTCTCTCGTTGGGTGGTGCGATGATATCAGCCCTTTGTGGGTGGATGTTTTTCCGCAAAGCACTAAGATTAAACTTACCCCCCGCTCGAATCATCATAATCAAAAAAGTGCCCCCCACTGGAAATCAATATCGGAGCTGGGCGCAGCATTGCTCATACGCAACGTGGGACGGACAAAGAACTTAATTAAATAGGTGATGGCAGACCATAAGGCAAACTGCCGGCGAGCGTTTGTCGCATGCATCAACATAAATCTTTTTGTGTGGCGAATCCCATGCAAATCCGCGAATGTTTCTCCTCTTCGCCTGACCCACAATCTCCACTTGATTTGAAATTCGAATTCGGCGCGAGTTCATCGGCAGTTCAACAAACTTCCCACAACAAGCCAAACACACACAGCGCAAAAAAGGGCAAACACAAATTTATGCTCGGATCCCACAACAAATGGAAGCTCATATTTATGGATGCTGTTTCGGTTTGGCGCAAGCCAAGAAGTATTTTAAATTGGGTAAAGTGAAGGCAGCCAGTTTGAGGAATTCCTTTGCCCATCAACAAACTTATTTAAAATTCCGAACCACCAATTCCACTTTGCAATTTCAATAAGAAAGTTTGGGTAATGTATATTAAGCCAATTATTCTCCAGCAGAATAAATCTAAAATCAACATTTAAATGTTACAGTTTTTTAGGCAAAAATTAAATTTACAGGAAAAATTTAAGACTTGTATTTAAACACCACCAGAGCAAAAAAATAAACTACAAAACTATTGAATATTCACTTATATTATTAGATCGTTAAAATGGCAGTTATATGACATCGTTTTCCGATTTTAATACAATTAAAAGCGTAATTCTGAATTATAAAGCCATTCCTAAATCCTAAAGAATTACAAAAAAAAAAAAAATATCATTTTTTTTCAATAAAGATGACTTAAAATTTCACTTGACTGCTATAGTGTTTATGTATATATGACTGATAGGGTTCGCAGCTATGATCAATCTGATTTAATAAGAGACAATCCACTTAATAGGAAAGCTGCAGATGGCTCACCCTTGAATGTTATAAAACGTTTAAAGGAATATTTATAATTATGAGGCTTAGAAGCCAAAAACAAGTCAGTACAGTGACCATAATGACATGTGTTTTTGGGGGCGTGTTGGGTCTGTCGCCCACTCAATTAGGTCCTGCGACTAATCCTGTCATTAAACACGGCCAGGTGTCGTTTCTTCGGGCTGGAAAACAATTATTAAACAATTAGGCGCTTCTCGTGTGGTAGTACCCCTTGCTATATATAAAGGAGGAGCTGCTCCAAAAGGGGCTAAAAGTCATGTATCCGCGATTCCTAGACCGCAACTATCCGCTGGCCAAGCATCTGTTCTTCGTGACCAGATACTCGTTTGGCCTGCTGGGCCTGGGATTTGACCAGAAGCCGTTGTCGTGGTTCCAGCCCACCTGGCTGGTGTTCAATTTCGTGAATCTGGCGCACTGCTGCCAGGCGGAGTTCGTCTTCGGCTGGAGCCATTTGCGCACCAGTCCCGTCGATGCCATGGATGCCTTCTGTCCGCTGGCCTGCAGTGCCACCACGCTCTTCAAGCTGGGCTGGATGTGGTGGCGTCGCCAGGAGGTGGCCCATCTGATGGAACGCATCCGGCTGCTGATCGAGGAGCAGGAGCATCGGGGCGACGCCCGCCGAGATACGGCGCAAAGGAGCTACTACGTGATGGTCACGAGGTGCGGCATGCTGGTTTTCACCCTGGGCAGCATCACCACTGGCGCCTTTGTGCTGCGTTCCCTTTGGGAGATGTTCGTGCGTCGGCATCAGGAGTTCAAATTCGACATGCCCTTTCGCATGCTGTGCGTTCTCACTGCCATATAACCAAGTGTAAACCCATTTCACAACCTTCAATGATCCGTAGGTTCCCTGAGTTTGCCCATCGTATGCCCTGGTTCCCGGTATTCTATCTCTACTCCACGTGGAGTGGACAGGTCACCGTTTATGCCTTTGCCGGAACCGATGGCTTCTTCTTTGGCTTCACCCTCTACATGGCCTATTTGCTGCAGGCCTTGAGATACGATGTTCAGGATGCCCTCAAGCCACTAGAGGGTGGGTTTGTAGTAACGGTCATAACAAACTAATCCCTAGTTAAATACCTAATTCCAGAACCATCAGTTAGGGAGTGCCAAATCTGTTGTCAGCGCTTGTCGAACATTGTGGATCGTCACAATGAAATCGAGAGGATTGTCCAAATGTTCTCTGACATCATGGCAGCTCCTACTTTTGTGCACTTTGTATCGGCCAGTTTGGTGATAGCCACCAGTGTGATTGATATTCTATTGGTATTAACATACTTTTACTGTTATAAGCTCCTCCATTATAAGCACCTCTATTACTATTTTAGTACTCTGGCTACAATATCATCCGATATGTGGTTTACACCTTTACTGTTTCATCGGCTATATTCCTTTATTGCTATGGTGGCACTGAAATGTCCACTGAGGTGGGTAAACATATGAAATCCTTTAATTTCCGTTGATTTTTGTTTGATTTTTCTAGAGCCTTTCTTTGGGCGAGGCTGCGTACAGTAGTGCCTGGTATAAATGGGATCGGGAGACCCGCAGGCGGGTTTTCCTCATCATACTGCGAGCTCAACGACCCATTACAGTGAGGGTGCCCTTCTTTGCACCTTCATTGCCTGTCTTCACATCGGTGGGCTCTTAATTACACTCCATTTAATAGAATAATTAAATTGGACTCCCTTTTCAGGTCATCAAGTTCACTGGTTCCATTGTGGCTCTGGCCAAAACCATATTGTGAAGAAGGCACCTATTAAAATATCCATTTCAATTTCTTGGTTTTTCTTTAAATTAGTTTGTGGCTTTGGGCTAGCCCAAAAGTATGCAACCTAGGCAATCGTAGAGGAAAAGTTGTGCAGACGCAAAAGTCAATTAATTTGCAGGGGTCAAGGGTTCAAAATGTACAATTGAAGTGGCCGGAAGTTTGCTGACAAAGTGCTAAGATATTCATATGAAACCATAAAAGTAGCCCAATGACGTAAACAAAACTAAAGTTTAAAAAGTTTAGATAAATAAGGATTTCCCAGCTTCAAGGCGGTTACCCAGAGCGTATACGTAATCAGTCGCAGGCGTTAAAAGTTTTTGGCCAAAGGCACGTGAGCCTGTTTTGGCATTGGATTTGGTCCGTTCTACGACTTCTGTTAATCAATGCCTGGCCAGTCATAAATGATGATGTGATTGAACCGTCTAGATTAGTTTTCTTGGGCCTGCCCTGATTAGATTTACTCCGATACTGCGCGATAACTCCGAAACGATGGCCAATTTCTTGCTGCGGTCAGTCTTAAACAAAGGTCTGACCTCCACACAAGTTGCTTGGGATCGCCAGGGATTAACTGAAAATGGCCAAGCGATTCATTATATTGCTCTTCATTGCCGCCTGGCTGAGCGGAAGTGCCAGCGGACAGAGAGGTAAAGTGTCCTGATCCAGATAAACCTTTTTGAAATTAGATTATATTAGCTTAATGTTGAATGCATAGTTATACGTATCCAAAACAATGGTTTTTATCTTCCAAATGATTGAATGAAATATAGCAGAATTCTAATTTTTTAGACTTCAACTTATATATGTATATAAATTATAGGCCATAAATTCATTTAAAAATAAAGTGTTTCATAATGTATGTTTTAAAAGCATTAAGTACTATTAATAGCCTTATAAATATTAAATTGGTGGTAATCTAAGCTTCTAGGACGAGTTATATTGAGATAAAATTCTTTGAAAAGGTTTCTTATCTCGAAATACGTGTGTTTGCTAGGCTAACCCATGCGTAGAGATAAGACTCAATTAATCCCATTGATATATTAGCCAAGCCCTGAGCTCTAAATGATTTACGTTTCCCAACTTTTTGTTAACAATTTGTAAAAAAAGTTTTGATTTATAGTAGAAAATCTCCGACTTTAAAGTGATTTATATTTCTGGGGTTTTATTTTCCTTAAATTAAAAATACATATTTTTTATGAATATAATTTGGATACTGTGATATAGCTTTAATTAATCCTTTTAATTTCTCGACTTTCTAGCAATTTCAGAAAAGTTTAAAATATCTTTTATTTGGTCAGAGAAAAATAACAAAACATGAATTTACCATTACCATTACCATTCTAGACGTTCATAAATTTTACTTTTGTTTGAGACCTCAGAGATTTAGGTAAAATAATAATTTGAAATGTAGTATTTTTGAACATTAACTTTTTGGAACTATATTCTGCTTAGTAGAATTGGCAGTTGAAAGTTCTTTAACCTGCAGCCTGAAAACGCCTTCGATTTGTCTCTCTTTCAGACCATCCCCGCGGACGCTCCTTCGATGCCGAATCGCATCCCGTCAAGCATCCGGAAGAGCAGCAGACCCAGTACTGGGTGGCCAAGGCACAGGAGAAGTTGCTGTCCAAGCTGGCCGAAGCAGAGACACAGTCCGCCAACACAAACAAGGCCAAGAACGTGATCATGTTCCTGGGCGACGGCATGTCCGTGCACACGGTGACGGCCACCAGGAATCTGCTGGGCGACAGTGCGGAGCAGGTGTACTTCGAGGGATTCCCCTACACGGGTCTGTCCAAGACGTACTGTGTGAACCGCCAGGTGGCCGACTCCGCCTGCACGGCCACCGCCTATTTGGGCGGCGTGAAGGGCAACTACGGCACCATCGGCGTGAATGGCCAGGTGCCCAGGTACAGCTGTGACGGCGATGCCAAGGAGGAGAACCAGGTGCTCAGCATCGCCCAGTGGGCACAGGCGGCCGGCAAGGATGCCGGACTGGTGACCACCGCCCGCGTGACCCATGCCTCGCCAGCCGGCGTCTATGCCCACACCGCTGATCGCAACTGGGAGAACGACTGGGAGGTGGCCAACAGGGGCTGTGATCCCGCCCAGACCATCGACATTGCCCGCCAGCTGGTGGAGCAGCCGGTGGGTCAGCGGCTCAAGGTGATCCTCGGTGGCGGGCGCCAGAACTTCATCAACACCACGGTGAACGATGAGGAGGGTCTTCCTGGCCTGCGCACCGATGGTCGCCACTTGATCCGCCAGTGGTTGGATCAGAAGAGGGCGACCAATGTGTCGGCCAACTATGTTTGGAGTCGCAAGGGCCTCAGTCTGGTGGATCTGGAGCATACGGACTATCTGCTGGGTCTCTTTGCCAACTCCCATTTGCCGTACAACGGAGATCGGGAACGGAAGCGCTCTCAACTGGCGGATCCTTCGCTGAGTGAGCTCACTGAGGCGGCCATTAAGGTGCTGAGTCGCAATCAGGAGGGATTCTTCCTGTTTGTCGAGGGAGCTCGCATCGATATGGCCCACCACGATACCTACGCCAGGAGATCGCTCGAGGACACCGCTGAGTTTGCCCGGGCCGTGCAGAAGGCTCGCGAGATGACCTCCGAGGATGACACTCTCATCGTGGTCACCGCCGATCATGCTCATGTCATGTCCATCAATGGCTATCCCGTGAGTATATATATGGGGGCTTTTCGATCTGTATACCCTTGAAGAGGGTATTGTTACTATAAAGTATATATATTTTTGATCAGCATCAATAGGAGGTCCATCTAGCCATGTCCGTCCGTTCGTCTTAAATGCTAAAATTGGTCGTAAAATTAATTTCCGTAAAAGCTCGACTTTTAAAAATCGGTTCTTGCATCGAACTCAATTTATTTTTCTAAGCCGATTGTGGATGGGTAGTATAGGTCGCCAGCGTTACAAAACAGTCACTCTTATGGCTATACGTCTAATATTGACCAAGTTCCAACAAATAGACTCTTTATGATTGGTTTTTTTGACAAGTCTTCAAAAAACCTGATAAAAAAACGCCTAAAAATTAGTTTTTCTTTCAAAATGCTGAGAAGTAATAGTGAAAAGATGGAATGCCATACATTGCTGAATTCGTCATTAAATTGCCAATCAAATAAGTTTTTTAAATTTTTGCAAAAAATGATGATGTACCCCCTTATCAAAAATGCCAAAATTTTTTATACTTTGAATTATGGTTTAAATTTAACCAAATGCGAACAATTAGTAAATTAAAAAAACTCTTTCGTCTGGCAGTTCCGTGACCAGGAGATTACTGGCTTGGCCCAGCTGGCCGATGACAACCTGCCCTATACGATTCTGTCCTACGCCAATGGACCGGGCTACTACTCTGGCTACAATCGTGCCGAGGGACGGGCTCTGCTCAAGGAGAAAACGGTGGCGGATGCGGACTTTCGGTACCCCACGTTGGCGCCCCTGGACGCGGAAACCCATGGAGGCGACGATGTGGCCGTGTATGCCTCGGGACCCTATGCCCAGTACTTCAGCGGGAACTACGAGCAGAGCAACATTCCGGCTTTGATGGCCCGGGCGGCTGGCATCGGTCCGTATGCCTAGGATCAGTCAGCTAACTTTTCTTACGTTATGCACACACATTGTAACATACTCTATGTATATCACCGCCTGGCTGAGATAACCCAATTAAAATGCATCACGGCTAACGGGGCAAATCGAATTCCTTCTAATTGAACTGGCAAGCTGCGCAATTTCCTGTGAGGCAGTGTGTAGTGAGTGGTGTTTGCGCTCCTCGATAAATGCCACCTGACGGCAAATTCAATTAACTGCCAATGGCAACTGGCATCACTGACAACCTGCAGGCAGCAGCCCCAATCAGTCAGTTGCAATCACTCTTGGACAGAGTCAATTGACCAGGTGGTTGTCGGCCAAGTGGAGTGAAAATCGCGGCCAGCTGTTTCGTGCTCCATCCATAAATCCGGGCAGGAATCCGTGGCGATGTAGAAGGAGTTCATGCATACATTTGGGGGGGGGAGCATGAATGAGCTGCAGTTGTCGAAACCGCCCCATAAAACAAACAAATGCATTCAGGGTGGAATCTCCATGACAGCGAATTTGCAGCAGCTCAACTCCAAGCAAAATCACTGCACCGAATCATCCTGGAAATTACGTTTCTCTTTACTTTCACTACGTTTATGCGAGCGGTACATTGGCAATCACAACCAATTTCAGAAAATTTTAAAGTATCTTTTATTTGGTCAGAAAAAGAAAATCAAATAATCATAAAACATACATTTATAAATCTTCATGCTATATTACCATATGTTGCACGTTATTACTTGACTTTCTTAGATTCTCTTTTGCTTGAAATCTGAGGCAATTTAGAAAAAAAAGATTATTTATTTAGTGTTTTTAAACATTTATTTTGTCGAACTTATTCGGATTTCAGTTCAAAGTTCGAATGCATTTATAATCGAAATTGAGACTTGTAAAAAGAGGTGTACTGAATTGACATTTTTATTAGAAATTTTTTCTTATTTTCTTTTTAATTTTGAATTTTTAAACGTATTTCCAATCAACAAGCTATTGCCAATCGGACTCCCATAAACGTAGCTTGTTACCTCCGTCTGAGTGATTGAATTATGTTTTCCATTTAGTGTCAACATGCGATGATTGACGATTCCCAATTGGGCCAAAGGGAATACTTGGTAATGGGTTGTAGGGTTGGGTTCCATTTCCGATTTCACTTGGTCTGTGCCAGTTTTTTATTTTCGTTATTTTCGGGCAATTTCCGCTGCAATTTCTGTTTAACGAGAACGCTTCAGTTTCAGTTAGCTTGCTTTCGATTTGTGCCGCCAAGGGAGAGCCTAGTTTCGACCGGACTGGGCTTAATCACAAGGTTCTGGTTTTGGCCAAAGAGGCGGTGCAACGGGCCTAGAGAAACTAAAAACTGGGTCATCAAGAGTGCGGGCAAAAGAAATGCAGCTGCGGTCTGCCTCTTGGTTTTTCTACCGTCTGGATTAGGGGGGTACTACCAATTATGTATATCTGTATCTGTATCTACAGGGCCAAAAGAAGAAGAGGAAACATCGGGGAAAAAACAACAAAAGCAAAAAAAAAAAGAAAAAACACTAATGGCAGCATACATAAAATGTGCTCGCAACTAATGGTGCTGCTTCATAGCTGACTCAGCGAAGAAGCTTGCCGCAAAGATACAAAGATACAGATACGCGCGCTCTCACAGATACGAAAACACGTGACTGTGTTGGAGCGACATCGACTCGAACTGGAAAGCTTTTTAACGAAACTCCATCGCCGTCTCTTTCGCACGGCAGCGCGCGCGCGCGTATCTAAGCCGATTCAAATGGCCATGTAGAGCCAGAGCCACAAAGCTGCAGCGCCGCGTTTTTGTATCTTTCGGATACATTGGGACGCTCGGATTGGGGTACGGGAAACGGGAGCGGGAACGGGAGCGGTAGCGGGGCCACATAATGTACGGCCAGGCCAGGCCAGTAGGGGAATTTTTGCTTTTGCGCAGCGACGTCGGCAGAGCGCTAAGTGTGCCACATTCTGTTTCCAAGCGCTCACACAGATACGCCACACACACACACACGCAAGACGCTTTGGGCATTTTTTTTTTACTCTACTCTATGCACTAACAAAAAAATTAACCCTACATTTCAGAGTTGCCATTCATATTAATTTTTATAAGTTAGAAAGCATAATTTACATAGAAAGTGTTTCAAATTCAATTTTTTAAGCAATAAACAAACAACTTTTTTTTTGTATTGTTTGTTTCCCAAATCAATTTTAAGTTCATCAATATAAGGCAGTTATTTTAAACAAATAAACTTTATTTTTGTCTATTAAACAAAATAAAATGCAAATTTTTATGCGCTTATTTTAAAGACACTAGTGTGGCTAATTTCGAAATGGTAAGTTTTCAATTTTTTACAAGTGCACCTTCACACAATCGTCGTTTATCAGCCATATGACAAATTCATGTGAATTGGCAAAGAAAACAAGCGGCGGCGGGGGCACTGCGATGACTGCAGCATTTCAATTAATGCTGAATTCGTGTCGCACAATAGATACATAGATACACCCGTACATTTCTGTTTTCCAAGCTGTAACCGCTCTCTCCGCATTTATCGACATTTGTGTTTACTTAACCCAAATGCGCCCCGCCAACAAAACGCAGGGGGCGGGCGTTGGCAGTGGGTTATGTAAGCCTGGGTGCGGAAATGGGCCACATATGTATGTAGGGGGGGTTGGGGTTCCAGTACCAGTCCGACTACCAGTACCAATGAAACGAGCTTTTTTAAGTGTTGGCCCACAACACACTGGGGCCCAGATACACATTATGGCCATAAGAGCCATAAGGGAGGAGAGAAAAGTATCTAAGCAAACGCAGGGCTTTTTAAAATTTTGCCATTTATACATTTAATATTTGTTTTGTATACATATTAATTTTTATATATATATATATTGTTCTCTTAATGCATAGTGTTACTTATTTCGATTGTAATGGATTATTATTTATCAATGTAGATTTGTTGTGGTTTCTTGTGTCGCAGCTTTCGTTAATGAATGTATATATTGTGTCTCGGTCGATCGGTGAACGCATGTCTGTACATACACATACATCATACATCATACATATACATCACTTGTTAGCCATTGCAAACGGAATTAGTCTATAAATGAGTTGGGCCTTTGGCTAGAAAGCTAGCCCTAGCTAGCTTTCCACCTTTCTCTACTCTCCTCCTCTGCTCCACTCTCCTCGCTTTCTACATCATAAGCACTTTGCTCGGCTTCAGGCTTCAATTCAGTTTAATTCAAAATACATTTTGACTTGCGTAAATACAGTGAATGTTCATTTGCATTTGCATTTGCGGTAGAGACTACTAACTAATAGAGTTGCTGCAGTAGGTGCTTGAGTGTCGAGTGGGAGTGGTAATGGTAGTGGTAGGGGATAGGTTGTGGGATAGGTTCTAATAACACGTACATAACTCGCAAATTGCCAAACGTAGGATAATGAATTTAGAATCGATCTCGCTCCGTTCCGCTGCCTTTCCACTTCCACTCGTTGCGCGGCAATCAAACTCGATTTACATTACGTATTTATATTAAGAAATACATATTTTATATATTTATATAAAGATCTATATAGACAGTGGCTTGGACTCTGCGCCATGCCACGCTCGTTCTATATCTCATCTCTCTGATTCTAACAGCGTTTATCTTTACATGGAGGATCGATACGTTTATATACGTTTAACAAGCTAGAGGTGTTCAATGTATTTCCATTTTCAGTTAATAATCAGTTCATAAAAGTATGTAGGTAAAAAACAAAACGTATCGCTTACATTGCGTATAAGAAGATCAAACATTGGTTGGTTCTGGTTGCTGTTACAGTGGCTGCTGCTCTTGCTCTTGTGCGGAAACATTTTAAAAATTAACGTATACGAGTAGACTAACTGAGGGACTCTTAGACTCTTAGAGGTTACGAATTTGCAAATGATACATCATTGAGTTGGCTGGGAGGTAAGAGCTACTTTGACAACTCGAATTATTATTGACTCTGAGGATCTTGATCTTTCAAACCTTCTTCTGTTGCAGCAAACTTTCTTCAATTCACGTCTATAAATATCGCTCTCAGCGGGTTTGAGAATAGGTTTAACTAGGTATCTGCTTATCTGCTGCCTGGCTATACTCGCTCCTTCAATGTGTGTACACAAATTTCATATGTGGCCGTTGTTGCTGCTACGTCTTTTGAATCTTCTCTTCTCTTTGTTCTAATTGTTGTTCTCTGCCGGATGTGTAGCAACAACAATCTACATATTTACATCGCATTTGTTAGTTTTTTCGCATTTTCATCGTACATTTTGCAATTTTTTTGTAGAAAATATTTTTCTTTTTTCTTTTATCGATTTTCATTTTTTTTTGTTTTGTTTTTGTTTTTTTCATTTTTTTTTTTCATCTGTTTGATTGATTTCTTTACACAGTATCTGTCATCAACAGTTTAACGTCTTCATCTACCATTTATAATACAACTCAATTAAAAATTTGTAACATTCCCCCACGATGGGGGAGGCATTTAAAATGTTATCGTTTCCGTTCGTTTAAATACAAGTCGAATTTCGGTTTCTAGCACTGCAGTTGGCCTGGCCTGCTGTTGCTGCTCTGTTCTTATTGTTGCGGTTGCTGCTGTTGGTTGTTTTGAAAATGTTTGTGTCTGCTGCTGTCACTGATTTCACTGTCTCCTTAAAACGAATTACTCTAAAAGCTAAACACAGTAATGGTAGTAGAATTCAATGAATGCAGTTCTGTGCTGTGCTGTGTGGTTATTTGGGGTGTTGTTGTGTTGTGGTGTTGTTGTGTTGTTGTGTTGTTGTGTGCCTACTGCCTGCGTCTGGGTTTTGCACAGACCTCCAGACAGAAGCGTCGGACGGTGGCGTTTTCTCAGTTGATGTTGGCCACCTCCTGGCCCTCGCCATCGACGACGGGCATGTTCAGCTGCTGGGTGACGTTCGATTTGGCCAGACAGGAGCGGGCCACCGATTCGAAGAGCCTGCGGAGAACATTAAGAACACATTGCCATTTTAATATCAACTCATCTCGCTTTCGTGGAACAGCATCCACGGGGCGACTTGCTTAATAAAAAGTTATATTTGAATGGATTAATGCTAAAGTGTAGAAAATAGGAGAGGTTACAAACGAATACAAAGAAAGGTTAACATGCAAAATGATTGGGATGGGATGGGACTGGTTGCTGATCCTGCTCTCCTGCTACGCTGCACACTAAATGCCAATTAAATGTGCAAACCGCTTAACTACAATCAGACAATCACCGAAATATCTGAAAACAAAAGGGGTGGTAAAATGTGAGTTAGGTGCGAAAGTGGGTTAGAGGTTGAAGAAGCGGAATTCGTGGAGTGCGTTGCCAATCTACTACAAACTAACTACATTTATAAGGCCTGTTGTTGTTGATCTAATTTGCGGTATAAATCTCACTGATCGAATGATGTTCTGAACAGGTTCTAGATGACCAGGCCAACTCACTTGGTAATCTCCGGCGCGCAGTGCACAAAGTCATGGTCCCAGAACTTGTAGATTGGATTCTTGATCAGCTCGATGAAAGTGATGAGCAATCCCCACGGATGTGGCCGGTTCACGATCAACCGTTCAAGCAGGACGCGCGTGATCTGCTCCTGAATGGCCTCCGAGTTGGCCTCGGCGAACAGGTGCAGCACGGCACAGCTGAAGTAGTGCGTGTGGCTATTCGGATAGCGCAGCTGGTTGGCAATCGCATTCAGGAAGAGATAGCGACCCTCCGTATCCAAATCGACAGCCAGGTTCTGGAAGATGTCCATGTGAGCGCTGTGTGCAATGTTCGAGGTGTTCGGCACAAAGTTCTTGTTTCTGCAAATAGTAATCTTGATTAGTAAGCGTTTTTGATAGAATGGAGATATGAAGAAGCACCCACCTAATCAAAGCGATGGCCTGAGTGCCCACATACATGACCAGGGCATTCATTAGCGTCATGTTGTAACGCGTGCCTGGCTCACTGGTCACCTGCAGGTGGCCACGCAACTCCGAGAGGAAAGTAACCGGCGCCCGAGCCTTGAGGTACGAGTCCAGATCCTTCTTGAAATTCGGCGGCTGGATGTTCATGATGTAGCTGCTAAGCACCTTGGGTGCATTGCTGCTGTCCGACAGCATGTCCACCTTCAAGTTGGGCGTGAAGGGGTCGGGCAGGCGCATGTTGCGCGGGAACGCCGACAGGATGATGTTGCGCATCTGGACGCAGTTGGGCGGGATGGTGTCGCAGAACCCAAAGTGGTAGTCGCACAGGAACTCGGGGAAGTCGTGCAGCAGGACGAGCAGAACGCGCAGGGTGCCCTTGTACAAGAGCTGGACCGGTTTACCAAGCTCCGTGTTGCGCAGGAAGGGCGCAAGATACTTGAAGAGATCCTGCAGCAGCTGGGCGTAAAGTGGCCAGCCCTTCTGGCCGGGAATCTGCACGAGGATGCGGCCCAGGAAGACGCGGTGCGAGATGAGCTCCAGCCAGGCGAAGCAGAAGCCCGGCGCCACGGTGGGATTCAGCAGGTGATAGGTGTAGGCGAAGGCCGACACAATGCTGTGCATCAGCGACTCGAGGATCACGTCGGCCGAGCAGAGCTCCATGAAGAGCATCATGAAGAAGCGGTGGTAGCCCACCTGCTGGAAGCTCACGCCGCGCATCTCGTGGTCCTTGAGCAGCGTGCCCAGCACAATGCCCAAAACCTTGTTCAGCAGGTTGATCTTGGTCGTGGGATTGCCTGCTTCGCCCGAATGCCGCACCAGCATCGCTATGAGGTGCACGAACGCATCGATCCACTGGAATATCTTGTTCTTTGCCTGGTTGATGGGCAGACTTGGCTCGGCAAACATTCTGTACACCACGTCCGTGCAAATGTGCGTGGCCTGGCGGAAGAAGCGTGTGATCAGGTCGTCCGTCTTCAGGATTCCGTATGTGTTCATCTTCTGGACGAATGCGCCAAAGTTGCGGGCATCGCGCGTGGATTGCTGGTTCTGCTGAGTGTACAGGGCCACCCAGTCCTTGAGCAGAAACTCTGTCTTTTCCTGCAAGCCTGGCGGATCGTCCGTATCGCATGACTAAAAGAAGAGAAGGGAGATTGTAAAACTAAAACGAGTTAGGCTAGACATATGTGTTCGTCCTTACCCTCACGTGATGCATGCCGGAGTGGATGTAGTGCGAGGCTCCCGCCAAGTAACGCTCACTGGCGTTGAACGGACTGTAGTCGCTGCTCGAGTTGAAGTTTCCGCTCCACAGCGTGTCAATGGCATTGACGATGCACTCGGGATACCGATGACGGTGCTGCGTAAGCCTACCCAGCAGCTCCACGGTGGCCATGAATTCGTTGTCCGAAACAATGTTAATCGCGCGATCGTCCATGATGAGACGCTCTAGCAGCGCAATACCGAACGAGATGGCCACATAGTTGTTGCCGTTGTCCATGCAATCCCGCAGCATGCCATCGAACTGATTCAGGTTGACAAAGTGCGAGGTGATCAGCGCACGAGCTGCCTCCACGTTGTAGCGCACCTCCTCGCGGATGTCGAAGAAGCACTTGGTCACTGCTCGCTCGGTGTTGGGGGCTCCAAAGCTGTTGTGCAGCAGTCCGATGATACGCAGGTGGACGTTCTGGTAGAGCTTCATCTGCTCCAGGTTCTCGTGCATGTTGACCAGTCCCTCGGTCAAACCTTCGACGGCGCGGGTCAGGAGATTGAAGGCCGACTCCTGGTCACGCAGGCGGCGCGTGTTCATCAGGGCGTTGAGGAGCATGTGCATCTTGCTGGCCTGAACCTGCAGCGACGGCACACCAATGGCCGTGTTCATAAAGGTTTCCATCTTGCTCGCCAGTTCCCCGTAGACCAAGCTGCTCTCGTCGTTGGCAAACACATTCGGCTGCGACAAGTCCTGCGGCTTGGGCACAAACAGTGCGATATCGCGGTCACTCATCTGCTGGAATCCCGGTATGCTTCTGGCGAACTCCGAGTACACAGCGTAGAGTGTGGCCGGCGCAGGGCCCACCTTGATGCGCACTGCTTCTGGCAGACGCTCCTGCTGGTAGCTGAGGATCTGGGCGTCCACAAAGCGGTTGCCCTCTTCGCGGGCAATCTTTCGGGTCTCGAAATCGGTGCTCAGGCGCCTATCGATCTCGGCAGCTGCCTTCTCGGCCGATGTCTTCTGGATGAAGGCGCACACCAGCTCCACATTCTCGCTGGCCAACTGCATGGCGGCCGCTTGGATCTCCGTCATTGTGGGCATCCCGTTGAGTGCCGAAATCAGGGCCTTGTGCAGATTCTGGCTAATGGCGCGTGCTATCTCATCCTTTCCGGTGATCATGGCCATGCCGGCGGCCAGATTGCGCACCATCTGGTGGGCGGCGGTGCGCATGCGGTTCTCATCAGCATCCAGGGCGAAATCCTTGCGAATGATCTGCTCGGTGGTGGCGCAGGCGATGCGAATGCTTCGGTCCACGATGGGCTGCAGCCAGTCGGTGATGGTGCGCTCCACGGCATTGACCACGATGTGCTTGATTCCGGGATTGGCGTGCAGGAATGGTACATTGGGCGGCATAATCAACTGCTGACCAATAAGCTGGAAGTTGCTCACATTCACGTCCACGTACGAGTAGCGTGGCTCTGGCGGCGGTTGTACAACCTGGCTGGGATCGTTGGGCAGATTGGGCGACGACACCGATCCGGGAGTGCTGTTAGCTCCATTTCCAACCATCATCATGGCAGCCGCATTTTGGGCATCCACATCCGCTGAAGGTGGCGGTGGAGGAGCCTGCTGCTGCTGTTGTTGCTGCTGCTGTTGTTGTTGCTGCTGCTGTTGTTGCTGCTGTTGTTGCTGCTGCTGTTGCGGAGGCGGCGGCGGTTGTGCTGGGGATTGCTGTTCACGCGGCAAAGCAGGCGCCGCTGCCACTGGCTCCATCTGTTTGGGCTTTGGCTGCGACATTTGCTGCTCAATCAACAGAGCCCGACTGGGATCCTTCAGATAGATCACCGGTCGCAGCTTGGCCAGCTCCAGGTTAAGTGTCTTGCACAGCACCTCGATTTCGAACTTGAGGTTCAGCTTGAGGTCCGGCTCCTGATGCAGCTCGCCCAGCACGTACATGATGCCCATTGTCCAGGGATTGGGCGAGCGGAAGATGCGTGACTTGGCGGACGACTCAAGGATCTTGGCCACGAAGGGCACCACAAAAAGCAGTTCCTGCTGTCCCTTGTGATAGGCCTCGGCCAGCAGGGATTTGAGATCCAGATCCAGCTGCAGAATGGGACGATTGCGGCCCAGGGTCATCATGCCCAGCCAGTGACCGAGGTTCTTCAGCAGACTGCGATCGGAGAAGTTGATGACTCCCTTGTCGGAGCGCAGCAGCACCTTGATATTGCGCAACGTCTCTTTGGTCACGAATCGATTGATCTCGCCGTTCTTGAGCGCGTCTAGGAAGTTGTAGTAGAGCGTGTGGAAGTTGAACTCCATTGAGGCGCGTTTGAGGACCAAATACTGCGCCAGCCATGGCCAGTACTCTTTGGTCATGATCTCCTTGATCTCGTCGCACTTCTGCGGTATGTTCAGCTGGCTCAGGTTGTTGAAAATGAAGGCAGTTTTGTCCTGCACCGGTTCCGGCGGCACTGTGACCTTCTCCTCCTGGTTGGCCACCAACAGGGTGTCGATATTGGTGGCATTGGCGATGGACTTCATCCTCGTGGCGTGCGACACGGCAGCGTTCGATTTCGGTCCCGCACCGGGAGTGGCAAGGGGCATGTTACCTAGGAAAACATTGAAAACAAACGTTATTCTCTGGCAGAGATTGCTTAAAGACTGCAGTGGGCTTTGTCAGCGGCTGAAAAGAGTTACCCATACTGTGCAGTGTTAACTTGCTTACTTAATTGCATTCTTGCCAAGTTGGTTGTGCCATAAATTACAAGAAATAATGAAGCACTTGGGTTAGGTTAACTTTAAAGAAGATGAGTAACTCTTGTCTATTCACCAACTCGTGACCCAAATACCCAACTCTAGTAGCAACAGCACGTGCTTACCTAGCATGGAGTTGGACCTGTAGAGCGCCTCGCTTGGCGGACCACCGGTGGAAATCGCAGACGGAATCGTATTACTGAGCCCAATCAGCTTCTGCGGCGGCGGCTCTTGGCCGTGCATTCCGTATTCCACATACTGGATAAGATGTGGCGGGAAGTCCGAGAAGTGGGGAATGGAGCGGATGTGCTCGCAGTACTTGTTGTAGGTGTGCAATCGGGTCCTGAATCTGTCCAGTGCCGTCACACCGAAATAGTAAAGCTTGGAGCCATCGGGTTTGCGTAGCGCGTCCAGGACACAGCGAAGGGAAAGGCCAAGGGCCACGAATGTGGGCACTAGGTTGCGGTCGATGATGCCACCGAAAAGCTGCGCTGTGATCTGCAGCTCCTTTTCCGGATATTGACAGAAGAAGCGGTACTCTTCGAAGAGATTGCGCAGCATGCACAGAAAGACTTCCTGTTCGCGTCGGTTGCTCGACTCCTTGAAGCGCTGCAGAATGTCCAGCACCTCGTCGATGGACAGCGTTGGATTTGGCTGGTGGTTGTAGATGCGCTGGAAGTACGAGTTGACCTCGTCTTCCACCTCCTTGGACACGGGTATCTGCAGGTCGGCCATCACAGGATTGTTGGGATTGGGGGCCGTTGGCGTTGGCGTGGGAGTCTGCTGTTGTGGACCACCCGGCAGCATGCGGCCGAGATTCCCGACATTGGGTGGCGGCGGAGCTTGCGGCATCCCCATGGGATTCAGTGGATATGGACTGGCGCCCGGAGTCATCAGACGTGATGGAGAGGCTGCAAGGGTATAGGTTGAGTTATGGCAACGATTCCGAGCGAAAGAACTCCTATACTTACTCAGCATGTTGCCAAAGTTAAATGCTCCGTTCGGCCCACTCAGATTGAGACCGGCCAGGTTGTTGGACATATTGGTCAGCGGATCCATTCCGGGTCCAAACATCTGCGCATTGAGGTTTCCAGAGAAGGGTTGCTGCGGCGGCGGAGGAACGATGCCGCCAGGCAGATCCATGCCACGATGGCCGCGCAGAATGTTCGGAGGTGGCGGCGGAACCAGTCCTGGCTGTTGCTGCTGGGCACGCGCCTTGTTCGCCATGATAGCCACGTTGGCGGTCATCTGCATTATCATTTCGACCATCTCCGGCAGCATGCAGTTGTTGATGCACGTTTGCAGGCAGTTAATCATTGTAGTAACCGTCTCGGGCAAGAGCTGGGCCTGTTTAGGAGGCAGCTGGTCCTCGGGCACTTTGGCGTTGGCCACCTGCGGGCAGCGACGCAGCAGCACCTTGATCATGGCCTGCATGAAGGGCTCCCCATGGTCGCGAATCTTGTCGGTGAGCCACTTCTCCAGCTTCAGGTACTCACGCCGCGAGGCAAGGCAAGCCAGGTCGATGATGAACAGAAAGGAGCGCGCGTTGAGCAGCGCGGACAGCGCCTTCAGGTCCTGGGCAAGGTCAAGAATGCGCGACAGCTTCACCTGGTCGAACTCACTGCCTCGCAGATACCACTCGGACATGGCATTCATGATATTGGGGCGCAGTTGGAAGTTGGTCGAGCTCCAGGCGCTGGCCAGGATGACGTTCGAGTTGGGATGGTTGCCCAGGAACGTGGGTATTAGTTGGTTGAACAGATCCTGCCGCAGCGGCGTTAGTGGCGGACTTATGTGCAGTAAGGCCAGGAATAGCACATCGGGACAGTTCTGCGCGGGGAACTTGAAAAGCTCATGGACCTGCGTATAGTATCCCTTGTCCGCAATGGAGAGCAACACCTCAACCAGGTGAAGCGACTTCCAGGCCGAGATCTCCTTGTTGTCCGCATCCGGGGCCGTCTTTAGCACGTCCAACGCTGGCTGGCTGAATACAAAGTCGGCGAAGGAGAAGAGATCCGGGTTCTTCAGCATGGTCGCAATGAGCGACAGCTGACCCTCCGTGTTGGCCCAGTGACGGTAAATGCATTCTGGATGTGGGAATATGTTGGAGCCAGTGGCCAGCCGTAAAATGGTCAGCAGTAGGTCCAAACCGATGCGATCCTTTAGCACGAACTCGGGATGATCGAGTTCTAAAAGAAAAGGGAATATATTTAGCTAAATGTCTTCGAATGGTTGACTCTAGTAAGCAATTACCCATGCACACTTCCTTCCAGTTGAGCTGTGGCACCACCTCCTTGAGCGCCTGCACAAAGACATCTGGCTTCCATGTTTGCGTGGCCTCCGTCGTCTCCTTCTTGTCCTTCTTATCACTGGACGAGTTGCCGTCGCTGCCATCGTTGTTGTTGCTGCTGCCCGAGCTCTGTTGCTGCGGAGTGCTTTGTGCCTGCGAGGAGCCGCTGCTATTGCTGCCAGCGCCCTGCCCTTGACCAGGCCAGAAGTTCGCCGGCGTCGGTAGGTTCACATTACAATCGAGCAGAGACGAGTGCCGACGGCACATGAGTCCCACGATCTTGGCGACATCTTTGGACTGGAGCTCAGCGCGTTCTCGTTCGCGTGAACACAAATGATTCTTGCACTCTTCAACACTCGATGTAAATTCATAACCGATTTCCAGGATTAGATTAATCCAGGATGTGTCCATAATATTATTTTTGCCCTGCAACAGTAGATTGAATTAGCAAATTGCCAGCTTCTTACATTAATTCTGCATGCGCACCTGGTTGGTGAATATTATCTCGCTTAAATGGTCATAGATATCCTCGATTCCCACCTCGTTTAGAGCATCTGCCTCGGAACTGGAGCAGTTGCTGCTGGCCGTCGCTTCGGCCTCCGCATCCGTTTCGCTGGCACCTGCTCCCGCAATCGTCGCCGTCGTCGAGCCGTACAGAAACGGCGCTAGAACCAGCGGCACCTCCTGGCGCGGAAACTCCTCGCGAAGCTTGACCAGAAACTGCGCCTCCAACTGCGGTTTAACGTACTCACTGAGGCAGCACAGCAAATACTGAAGCAGATCACAGGATATCTCCTGGAGACCGCTGCTCGTCGGACTGCTGTTGCTCTTGCCCAAATAGGAGTCGATTAGTTCGCGGAGGCTGCTTTTCAAGTTGTTCCTGGCCGACTGCCTGAGATCCGAGTGCGAGGAATGGGTTACGGCCAAGGCAAAGATGCACTCGCAGAGCTTGTTGATACCGGTCAGTCGAGAGACTTGGCCCACGAGATCCGATACCGCAGCAGGCTTTAAGGTCTGAGCAGAAAAAAGTGTAAAGGGCCATAAGTTATAAAAACACTCGGGGATTAGATGGGAACTAACCTTCTGGTTACTGGCAAAGTACTGGTCGAAGGCGTAGCAGATGTTGGACACAAACGATGAGCTCTGCAGCTGACGCTGCAAGTGGGCGCCCAGGAGTTTCGCCTGCAGCTGGGCGGTAACAGAGGGCGCGGGATCGCTGAAGTTGATCACGGAGAACAGGTGGCGCAGGCTGCTGCGATCCGCTTCCAGGCCGTGCTCTTTAACGAACTGCAAAAGATCGGGGAGGCTATCAGTGTCGGAGATATTCATTGGTCTGATCCTTGTGACCAGCACAAGGGCCCAGGCAGCGACTGCCCGCAACCTGGGACACATGCCAATGGATTGCGGGCGATGGGCGTTTTAAAAGATTCGTCAGATTCTCCAGTAACCTTGTTTTTTTTTATACGATTTTCATCGTAAACTTAGAATTTTTGAGAGTTCTGTTATGTGCGTGTGTCAATCTTTGACTGCCCTAGTTCAAAGTGTGTTTTGGGGTTTTGGAGTTCAGGGGCGGATCTCAAGTGGGAGATTTCAAGGGGGAGATTTTTTAATTTATTCTTCGCAAATTAAAATGTATCGATAATCGATTTTTGCTAAATAGTAGCAGAATGGGTTTCTGTTATAAAAATTAAAATATGCATATTTTATACAATTAGAAAACCGGCGAATTGGGCAATGGGTATAAACCTGGAAACTTTATTTGCAACTATATCCCGCAGAATTGAACTATCCCGGTATTTGTTATGATAATGTATTCGAATACTTTTTAGGGGGTCGGCCAGGTGTATCCCCCACTTTCGATCCACCTCTGTGCAAATACGGGATCCGGAGTTCGGAGTCCGGACTCAAGGCCTCTCTCCGCGCGCGTGAGCGAGACAACAGCTGTGACCCCGCCGTCGCAGCTGCTCCACAACAAATTACACTCGGGCTCTCTCGCTTGCACCCACTGGATAAACGTTACATAGGAGAGGAGACGAAAGGAGAGAGCATGACGGTGCGAGAAAGGAAGGGGGTCACAGGAAAAAGTGCGACATATTGCAACTCCAGCGAAAAGAAAGCGGCCGCAATTAATATTTCCATGGAATAAACCCCATAAACTTACAGTTTAATTTAATTGTTTTCCACCAGCACTGAGAAGAAAAAAGTTTTGGGGCCGAAAAGGCCTTCGCTTGGCTTGGGCTTTCCCACTCGGTTTTCGCAACCCGATTTTGCACTGCTCCGCTGCGAATTTCACACTGCCGAGCACGCCAATATCACGGGAGTGGCTAAGCGCTCCCAATTAGCCTACTTTTGCACATTCTAAACCACTTTTAACTTAAACAAATCGGTCAGAAAACGCGCAACGCCGTGCAGAGAAATTTTTTCATCTGCCTTTACCAAAAAACTGTAATGGCGTCGGCAAAAATGCACGAGTGAGTGAAATGGCACTAGTGCTCGGGGCCAGTCGTGAGTGCGTACAATTGGCAACTCTGGCTTGCCAGGTGCGATATGTTTTCAGTTTGGCAACACTACCCCTGTCACCTTGTTGTTGTTATGGTTGACAAAAACGAATTGTTCATCAATTTACTGGGGCAAAAACTCCAACTCACCTGTTTTATTTGCTCGCTGCTTTCATTAAAATTTCGCTTGTTCACGTGCTTAACCAGATTGCGTATGTGCGTTAGCGGTGTCTTCAGTTGGCTCTCTACGTTCATAATTCTACGTATCAGTTGTCAATTCCTGAGCGGATGTTTCTTGTTGTTGTTTTTGGGGGGGCCAGAATTTTTCGAGCACACACGTTTACAGAGTGCAATGGTATTGGAGATTAGAGATATTTGACGTATTCTCTGTTGCTTCTTCTTGGCGCTTTTCTTTTCATCTACGGCGTAATTTGTTTTTGTCTCTGCCTTACTTTTTTGGTTCTTTTTTTGGGTCTGTGGAATCATTGGCCGCGGCCCCCGTGGAAAAGGGGCCATCAGCAGCTCTACATCGCAGGCGGCATCTATTTTCGCATAAATCAAACAAACAATAAGCTAAGGTTCATGGGCCAGGTGAAATCGGTTTGGCTTTGTCCTCGGCCGAACAGATATATTGCAATAGCTCACGTAATGAAATAATATGAATCAATCCGCACGTACAGCGAAAACAGAAATGAAAAAAATACTACTACTACCACACACACGCACGCACACACAGGCAAAGGGGGAAAATATAGTTTCTGCTCCTCGCTTTCTTTCCCCCACTTCCGTCCGGTTGTATATCGTTTTGTTTTAGGCTTGTATCGTTTGTTTCGTTTGCTGGGTATTCACTTCAGATTTTTTAAAAATATAATTGCCGAAAGTGTTTTTAACACCCAGATTCGGTGTTCGAAATAACAAAAACGCCTTTCGCGAAATCCCTAACGCTTAGAATTTTGATATTTTCGAACTAACTAAAAAATACTAGAAAAGTTGCAGGGCTGCCAAATTTTGCAAGTTTTGCCATTGTCGATGAATAACGGTTAATGTTTCGATACTTTGTAATTTAAGTTTTAAATTATTAACTGATTATGAGAGCTATGAACATAAACAAACTGAAAATATATAAAAAAATAAAAATATATTTTCTCAAAAAATCTTTAAAAGTCGGTTAATTGAAAAAAAAAACAATTTAAAAACAGCTGGTTTTTTTTATTAAGTCAAAATAAACTTGAACGGCAACGTTGCCCCAATGACCATATCACATTGTAAGATCTTCTTTAGAACCACGATTCGGTATTTTTTGGGAGGCTTCCACCCGGTCACACCCCACCCCATCCACATGCAGCCACCCACTCCGCCCCCACTTGGTGTACATAACAAACGGGCTTAATTGGCAATTGACCAGCGAGTTAAATGTGCGCGGCAGGCAGTCCCATATTCAGTGTGCTCCTCCGGCAGAATGTGTTCCTGCGAGGCGGTGGTGTCCCCCGGAACTGGGCCTCCATCCTGTCCCCGTCCTCTTGCAAACCGATTCGAAATCGATCCGAATCCCGCGCTTTCTCGTCGGACGCTGGGGCTTCCGCTCCAGCTGGTCCCGCGAAGATCTCGCCCCCGAAAACAGTGAGTGATTTCCAAAAGCTTCACGAATCCACCAAAAAGAAGTTCCAATGTAAGCCTCAACCACTCGCAGGCATATGCATATGCGTAGTATGTGCACGATCTAAAAATACCCATCTGCAGAGTGGTCCCATTAGTTAACACCCTCGTTTCCCCCAATCACTTGACATTTTGCAGCCAAGAAGCTGCCCTCAGACGTCCATCCGGATGCGGTGTTCGCCTGCAATGAGCTGGATCTCAGCGAGGTGCAGGTCTACGGATTCGACTACGACTATACGCTGGCCTGCTACAAGCCGATCCTGGAGGACCTGCTGTACAATCTGGCGCGGGAGATGCTGGTGAAGAGGTTCCGCTACCCGGAGGACATCCTGGACCTGGAGTACGAGCCCAACTTTGCGGTTCGCGGCCTGCACTACGACGTGGAGAAGGGGCTGCTCGTGAAACTGGACAGCTTCCTGCAGCTGCAGCTGGGCTCCGTCTACCGCGGACGCACCAAAGTGGAGGCGGAGGAGGTGCTGAAGCTCTACCACAACCGCCTGCTGCCCATAGCCTACGTGGAGGGGCCCAACAATAGCTATAGGGTTGGTATCTTATCACCTGGCTTGGGCTGGTTTGGGTTTATCAATCACTGATTTACAACCTACCTTCCCGAGCAGCATAACACCAACTCCAAAATGGTGCAACTAGCCGACCTGTTTTCCGTACCTGAAATGTGCCTGCTGTGCAATGTGATCGAATACTTTGAGCGCAATCGCATCGACTACAATCCGGAGATCGTTTTCCATGACACCAGGACCGCCATGGGCTCCTGCCATCCCATAATGCACGGCAAGGTTATGTCGGACACCGAAAAGTACATAGAACGCAACCCGAAGCTGGTGAAGTTGCTTGAGAAGCTGCAGCAGGCGGGCAAGAATCTCTTTCTGGTCACAAATAGTCCGTATTCGTTTGTGTAAGGCCTATCTATCTATCTATCTTTTTCCTATCGATAAGATCGACTTAAATCGTATTATATGGTTTTTAGGAACTGCGGCATGTCGTGGCTGGTGGGCTCCAACTGGCGTGATTTCTTCGACGTGGTCATTGTGCAGGCTCGCAAACCCAAGTTCTTCACGGATGAATCTCGCCCCATTAGGCTGTTCGACGAGCGAACCCAGTCGCATCTGTGGGATCGGGTCTTCAAGCTGGAGAAGGGCAAAATCTACTACGAGGTAAGGGTTTGCTCTTCAAACAAAAAATTGCATTATTTAGGCTTTAATTTTGGTATTCTCCTCAGGGTTCGGTGAAACAGCTTCAAGAACTCAAGGGCTGGCGCGGTCACTCGGTGCTCTATTTCGGGGATCATCCGTACAGCGATCTGGCAGATGTTACTCTGAAGCACAGCTGGCGAACAGGAGCCATCATCAGTGAGCTAGCGGTGGGTACTTAACGCTCGACTATTAGTAAATGGCTTTAAAGGGGGGTTCCTATTTTACAGCATGAAATTAAAACCCTCAATCGAGAGGACTTCAAGACGAGTGCCAACTGGCTGCAAATGCTGACGCAGCTCATCGAGGAAACCCAGGACGATGAGAGCGAGGCAGCCCAGATTTGCCTAAAGGAGTGGATGGAAGAGCGCGATCAGTTGCGGTTTGTAAAGTGGCCTGCATGTAGTAAACAACCCATTAATTATCCAACCTACAACAGCAACAAAACGAAGAACGTGTTCAACGAGCAGTTTGGCAGTGTTTTCCGCACTTATCACAACCCCACGTACTTCTCGAGACGCCTCTTCCGTTTCGCCGACATCTACACCAGCGACATAACTAACCTGCTCAAGTTCTCCACCACCCACACCTTCTATCCGCGACGGGGCGTGATGCCCCACGAATATGCCTCCCACTTTATCTAGAGAGAAAGTGGAAACAAACGAACGAACGCCCGTTAGCAAGCTCAGATTAGTTGTAGGTGAAAAGAAGTGCCAGTGTTGATTGCTTGTAGCTCGAAACTAGTGAATTTACTGCGTGTATATCGTTATTTACATTGTTGCTCAATAAAATCGTTGTAATAGTTCAAGAAAATCTCGCGATGCTCGCTGGCCAGATACTCCAGCTTACCTTTTAGATGCAAAAGTTCCTTTTCGTTGCTCTGGCATCTTTCCAGTGCAATGAGATCCCAGAGATAAGTCATCTGGGTGATGTACTCCATGGAGTATTCGCCACACTGGGCAGCAGTGCCCTCCAGCTGTTTCCGGATAATCTCCGCCAGCTTTTCGTATACCAACTCATCCAGTAAAGCCCCTTCTGTTTAAGAAACCACAATAGTAAGTCTGTTAATTTGTTGAACAATCGAATTTATACCGTCTATTTCCACAAAGAAGGCTGTAATTAGTTCCTCCGCCAGATTTCTTTTGAGACTGTGGTGGTCCACTAGCCATTTGTCCAGATCTTCGAAGGCCTTGAATAGTGCCTGTCTTTGTGTTGAGTCCGCACAGTTCTCGATGAGGTCGAGGAAGCCATTGTACCAGGCGAACTGTTGACGCTCCTTGCAAATTGTGCAAATAATCGAGTTGTCTGCATTGGATGGCAGCCACCAGCTGAGATTATTCTGTTGAAGCTCGACGTCTGGCACAAATATCTGCCGGCAGTTGGGTTTTTCGCAGCGATAACGATGGAAAGTGAGCTGGTAAAATACGGAATCAAGAACAGAGTCTAGATTTCAAGGAATTTGTTTGGTTTCTATCAAATTAATAGACATTCACTAGAAAATTCTGTGAGTATCACACCGTATACACTAATGATTGTTTTTGTGCTATTATTAGAACATGCTTTATACTAAGAAAAGTATTTTTTTGAAATAAAAACTCACATAGTCCTGATCGGGATTAGTGCGAGTGCACTTGTCGCAGCAGCACTGGAATTTATAGACCTCCTTTAGGGGTTTGGATCGCTGAAGCTTCAGGCTGTTTCTGCAATCCCTGGTATAACAATTGAAGATCTCCTCGCCCGCTAAGATGTCCTTTGCGGCGTAGTTAACCGCGGAACAGCCGTCGAACTTGGTTCGAATAGAGGGAGCGCAGGCATGATTGCACAGGCTCAAGTGGGGCAGATTTATGGCCGTGATCAGCTCCGAATGGGCCAAATTGTGCAACTGGCCCAGCTTGAGATGGCGCGGCCGCTGCCACATATCCGGCTGCAGCAGGGCGAACTCGTTTGGCTCCAAGCCAACTGGCAGCAGGGCATCGCCCACATGACCGTTGGCCAACAGCTGGCCGGCTGATCGGAGTATCAGTGCTGATGTAATCAGTTGCCATTCCTGAGTGCTGGCCGACGAGGAGTGGAACTGATCGAAGAAGTCGGTGTGCTCTTTCAGGTAAACCTGAAGCAGATTGGCACACAGAATGTGGTAGACTAGCTCCGCCTGAGAAGCCTTATCCAAGTGGCTGACCATCCGCAGACTTTGCAAATACTCTGGAGTGATTTCCGCAGAGTCCGTGCTCTTGGCCATATCAGTGATCTTAGCCCAAATCTCCTGGGCACTGGTGCACTCCTGCAGTTGCGGCAGCATTTGGGGCATGTAAGTCAAAACCAGACGCAAGGCCAAGTGCGAAACGCCCAGCAGCTTGAGCAGATCCCTTCGATAGGCGGCGCACTCGTACCTGTGGATGGCTGAGTGGGCCTCTCGACATTTCCTGGAGCAGTAGACGACCCGCTGATGGCACTTGGAGCAGGGAATGGGCGCACTCATCAAGCTGGCGGCGCACTGCTGGCAAATCAGTCGCTGCTCCAGGGGAACAAAGCAGGAGGCTCGCTCGGAGAAGATGATTTGGCCCTGGCTTATGGTCTCCTTGGCCACCATATAGCGCCCACGTTGGCCAGGATCTGTGATGCTGGAAAAAATTAGGTTAGGGAATGGGCAATGGTAGGTATCAAAAGAGCTAAACCCACATTTCCTCTAGAGCTTTGCTCTCTCCCCGATCTTGTGGCTCCTGCTCCTTCGCTTGTTTCTTAAGCAGCTGCAGTTTCTCCTTCAGGTCCTCCAGCTGCAGCAGGAAGGTGTCGTTTAGCTGCAGCTGCTCCAGACAGCCCAGATGCTCCTCCAGGGACGCAATCTGCTGCAGCTTCCAGGCGCAGTGGGCCTGCCGCATGATCACCTTGTGTCGCAGCCTCTCCGGATAGCCACAGTCCAGCGCGTTGGCGCAGTCGTCGTACGCTTCACTGTAGAACCCGTACTCCTGCAGGGCCATTCCACGGTTGGCAAAGGCCAGGGCCAGCTCGTCCTCGGCATCCTCCGCCTCGAAAACGGCTCCCGTGTAGAGTCTGCAGGCTTTCAAAACCCGCTCCCAGTTCTGGAAGACTGCGGATACGGATCCTCTGAACACCATGTTGCCCTCCTCGCGCAGATTCCGCGATCTCTCCGCGCACTTTTCCCGGTCATGCGGCTGCTCCAAATCCTCCAGTAGTTTTAATGTCAGCTGCTGTATCCTCTGACGCTTTTCCGCCGGCAAGCAGTCCAGGGATTTAAAAGTTTCGTACTCATCCTTAAAGTCTGCATCCAAGGCTATTAGTTCGTCCTGCTGGGAGAAAACTCTGGCCAGACGATCCATTTTCGCCGGCTTTCCAAATTGTTTACAAAAATTCAAAGATGCAGTTGGTCATTTTTAGGTCCTTTCTTTTTCTTGAAGCGCGAAATAGGACAATCGATAACTTTTTCAAACTTGTTCTTTCTTTAGAATTAAAGTGAGATTTGTGACTCCTTTAACAAAATGAAATCATGACAAATCATATAGAAACTCATTATAAGCATTTAAGAAAACAGTACTTCTATCTTAAGTTGAGTTCTGTTAGTTATTTCTTTTTTAAAAGGTTCGCATACTTCCTGTCTTTCACATATTTTTGTTTCTTATTTTATTTATTGTAAATATATATTTTAACTGGATCACCTTCTGGTCTATTACAATCTCGTAAAGTCAAACCTTAATCCTTGAGATCCCACCTAGTACTTAACACTTGAAAAGAAAACTCTTTGAAGCATTCATTAAATAAACTCCGACTTAAAACTTAAAAGACCTTTTTTGAGTAAAGTTTATTGAAACCGTTTTGTTTTGATCGATATTGATATCGATAGGCAGTGCCGATAACTGCGGTCCTCCCACCACCAGGTGAAACCGTAAACAAAGTGCGGCAGAACGCACACTCATGCACGATTGCAGAATTCCTCTACGAATTTCATCAAATTAGACCGGAATTTTCGGTGTAAATCGCTTAGGGAGTTTCCATCAACCCATCCGGCAGCCAAAAGTCAGAATGAAAGACGCCAAGGTGAGTTCGCCGGCAGTTTTAAGTGACGCCCGCAGTTACATCATGTCGCAATGCAGTCGGTTGGACTTCGGCTGATGTGCTGGTGGCTTTTGCTCCTGCCTCAGGTGAAAACTGATCAAATCTCCTCGTGCTCGCAGCCGTTCCCCGTGCTGAAGAACGACAACCTGCTGCGGGCCGCCCGCGGCGAGGTGGTGGACCGCGTGCCCGTGTGGGTGATGCGTCAGGCCGGACGCTATTTGCCCGAGTTCCAGGAGCTGCGCAAGCAGCACGACTTCTTCACCGTCTGCCGCACCCCGGAGCTGGCCTGCGAGGTGACCATGCAACCACTGCGACGCTTCGACCTGGACGCCTCCATCATCTTCTCGGACATCCTGGTCATTCCGCAGGCACTGGGCCTCACCGTGGAGATGCACGCTGGCGTGGGTCCCGTCCTGCCGCAGCCCATCGTGGTGCCCGAGGACCTGAAGCGCCTGACTCCGGACGGCGCCGTGTCCCGCCTGGGCTACGTGGGCGACGCCATCACCATGATGCGGCACAAGCTGGAGGGGCGAGTGCCCCTCATCGGCTTCACCGGTGCGCCCTGGACGCTCATGGGCTACATGATCGAGGGCGGCGGCAGCAAGACCATGTCCAAGGCCAAGGCTTGGCTCAACGACTATCCGGAGGACTCCAAGCTGTTCCTCAACCTGCTGACCGACGCCATTGTGGACTACCTGGAGATGCAGGTGAAGGCGGGCGCCCAAATGCTGCAAGTGTTCGAATCCTCGGCGGAGCATCTGTCCAAGGAGCAGTTCCTGCAGTGGGGAACGCCCTACTTGAAGAGAATACGCGACGAGCTGGTGGACCGGCTCACCAAGAAGGCAATTCCATTGGTGCCCATGGTAAGTCCCAGCTAAAGGTTAGTTTAGTTTGTACTACATCGGAGTCTTTCTGCAGACGCTGTTTGCCAAAGGTGCTGGACACTCGCTGAAGGAGCAGAGCGAACTGGGCTACGATGTACTCGGACTGGACTGGACTGTGGATCCCCTGGAGGCGCGCAATGTGGTGGGGCCGAACATAACGCTGCAGGGCAACCTGGACCCGCAGGACATGTACCGCGATCCGGAGGAGCTGCGCAACCTCACCACCGAGATGGTGCACAAGTTCGGCAAGTCGCGCTACATCGCCAATCTGGGGCACGGCATCACGCCCCAGACCCCGATAACGAGCATGGAGGTGCTGGTGGAGGCGGTGCACAAGGCCTTATAGGCTCGCCCCTAATCTTTTCCTTTAATGATGCTTTTATCGAATGCAATAAAGACAATTGGCCTTGGGTTTAGGGTAAGATCATTGGAATGTTATATTTAGTTGCTGTTGCTCCTGTTCCTGCAGGATCTTGTCGTAGATCATCAGGATGCTGCCGCAGCAGATGAGCAGGGTGCCCAGGATGATCTCTGGAAGAAGGGTCTATCAAATGAGAGGACAATTATAAGGAATTTCATGGAGCCTACTCTTTCCCGGCAGCTTTTCGCCCAGTGCATAGCCGGTTATGGCTGTGAAAGCAAAACTCAGGGAATTGGCCACCGGCACCGCCACCGTAATACTGGCACTTTGGAGTGTCCACACGTACAGGGCGCTTCCGCACTGGTTGAGTCCAAAGGGTATCCAATAGCGCCAGCGGGTGCCCACTGTGCGAGCCTCCTGGACGAGGTTGCTCCACTTGGAGCCCGTATCCCTGACCGACTCGATTCCCTGGCTGCCGAGGCGAATGAACGGATTGGTTACGCCCCACAGCAGGCCCACGACAAGAAGTTGCACTAAAAAAATTTAGGAGATTGAATATATAATATTACAAACGCTTATTTTTTAGTATTTACCAGCAGCTTCAAGCATTTTTATTGTTTACATCTGATCAGCTGTTCTCTTTAAACACTGCATATATTAATGGGCAAATTAAGTGAGGGAATTCCCACAACTGATTTATAGCGGGATTATTTATTTATTAATCGCTGAAGCCCTGAAAATTCAACAAAAATGTTTAGCTATTGAGGGAACAACCCAAATTTGTAACAGTTAAAATTTTTTTGGTATTTACTGTTTTAAATTAAAACAAGTACAACTATGCTTTTAATAATTTAGAAAAAAAAACGGCTTTTCAATAAAAGGGACGTTGTTGAATTGCTAACATTTTTAAAGGCTGAATAAGTGGTATCTCTGTAATTGTAATCCTTTCGCACTTTTCGTATTTAATGGAGTCTATAAATACAAAATTAAATATGTATTTCATAACTTGTCTTTCTTAATTTGTGTTTTTATATTTACTACTCCACTTCACTAATTCCTAAAAAAAAAAACATTTATCTTTAATTTGTAATCTGTTAAATTTGTAAGTCTAGTAGGTCGCATATTTTCCTTTATACAAAAACAAATTTTGAAATTTAAAAATAGCGAAAAGTGTGACCGTTCCGCGCAAACATCGATAGTCGCAAATGGCAATCGATATGGCGTCGTTTCTCCGCTCTAGCCAGCTCCAACCACCTCTAGCCTTCTTCTTCTTTCTTTTTCGTAGCTTTCATTTCCGGGAGAGGTTCGTAATTTTCCATTTTAATCGTGAAACATCGAAAATTTGCACCAAATAACTGCAATGCAACTGTGTGCACAATGCCTGCAGACCGAAAACCCCGCAGGGGACGTTCGAATTTTCTGTGTGACTTTTTGTGGGATATGTGTTCCCCGTATATGTGCACTTTGTTTATGTTCGGCCAATCAATTAAATACCCCGTCCCCTAATTTTGCAGGATATTGAAAAGCACCGTTGCGGCCTAAACAGCACAATGACCAAGACCAAGGGAGAGAAAATCAACAAATCGGCGATCAACGAAGTTGTGACCCGCGAGTGCACCATTCACCTGGCGAAGCGTGTCCACAACATCGGCTTCAAGAAGCGCGCGCCCCGCGCCATCAAGGAGATCCGCAAGTTCGCCGAGCGGGAGATGGGCACCACCGATGTGAGGATCGACACCCGTCTGAACAAGCACATCTGGTCCAAGGGCATCAGGTGCGTAGATTCCAGTTCCGCTGAAAGTGCGTCCTTTCTAATCGCCCGCCTCGTTTGTTAATCCCCTCCAGGTCCACTCCATTCCGCATCCGCGTGCGTCTGGCACGTCGTCGCAACGACGATGAGGACTCCCCCAACAAGCTGTACACCTACGTGACCTATGTGCCGGTGTCCACGTTCAAGAACTTGCAGACCGAGAACGTCGAGTCCAGCGACGACTAAGCAACGTAATTGAAGGCCCACAGATACGGTTAATAAAAAGTAATTTTTATTTAGAAAACACAAAAACAAGAGTGACTTAAAGTGTGGTAAACTGTGGCTGCAGCAAGTAGACGGCTTCCTCCGTGGCCATCGACAGCAGGCGGAGCTTCTGGCTGGGCAGTTGGAGCACTGCCAAGGCGCGCGCTTCTGGAAAGGCGCTCTCGCCGAGGATTTGCTGGAATCCCGCTGCCCCGCGATGCTGATAAATGGTGAGCGGTTGATGTGGCCGGACGTTGGATACGCACAGCAGCAGATCCTCCGACTCGGGCAGATGCATGAAGAGCATTTGACGCGGCTGTTGAGAGTTTTGGAGCACCAGGACTTGGTCCAAATGGAAGCCGCTCGAGACGTCGCTATTAAAGCTGTGAAATAGTTGGAACTTGCTTAAACCCGATTTAATGGAGTGCTCAAGGATCTACCTGTAAATCCGTATCTCTGCTGCGGGCGATGAAGCTAGAAGTGCCACATAACCGCTCTCCATGCCGGCTCCTCGTTGGATTCGCGCCATTTGCTCCACCTGCCCAACTAGAAGGCTGCCCACTAGGGAGTAATTGCCGCTGCTCCATTTCCAAAGCTCAACAGCCCTGGATGTTCTTAGCAAAATGGGCATGTCATCTGTTTCGGCCACTAGCAGCAACTGTTTTGCATCCCGGCTGGCCATGATTGCTTCCCTGCTGTTGTTCTGCTTGTCGACGCATTTTATTGCTATCTGGTTGGCTTCTTGTAATCCCAGACACTGAAACTCGAGTAGCGCAAACTTTATTTGCTGCTTGGTTTCTGCATCCTTAGGAAATTCATCCAAGATTTGCTTTTTGAGCTGTGCGTGTAGTGCTGACGAACCTAAAATAACAGATCGAACATTAGTATTGTTATGTGGACTAATGTATACACTTTCTTAACTTGCAATTAGGTTTTTGTTTACAAATTTTATTTTACAAACCATTGATAGTTAGACCACGGATTTATCATTTTTGCATTATTTTAATGCTTAATGTAGGTAGATTCATATACATATACAAAACATGCCAATTATATGCAAAATTAATATAGTTTGGGATTAAAGGGATTTTAAAACTAAATTCCTTTGGTATCATTTATTATTAAAAATTAAACAATTTTTTTGGACAATCCTTTAAGCCATGTCCAAATTATTGTCTTTGTTTTCTCAGAAACCAATATTAGTTCAAATTAGAAGTTTCTTAAATAACTTGACAATATTTTATAATAAGCTGTTATGAGCTCTTCAAACCATATTACAAAGTGTGTAGTACTCTTTCATAGGGTATTTCAAAACAAAAACAGATAAGAAAACAACGCAGTGAGGTTAGACTGCAAAGCATTTAAAGGCAGTATTCGTCCAATTCACTGCAGTACCAAAGTAGATTTCAGATAGACCAACGCCCACTCTTAAAATCCCTCACTATTCATCATGAGAAGGTACTTGGCAGGGTGCCTTTGGCTGCTTTGTTTGATCTCGATGGCGTTTTCTGACCTGGCGGTGACCAGTTCGCCCAAACCAACGTTTACATCGGCGTTTAGGTAAGCTGCGCTGGCTATAAATCCTTTGTTCACTAAAACCCTTCGATTGCAGCTCTAAAACAACTTCCCGCGCCGGTACCAATGCTTCAAATATGAACAAGACCAAATCCGGTCGTCCGGCGACGGGTGAGCGGCTGCCCATGGTGATCAACACCTGGAACTTCACGGCCGCCAATGTGCTGGCCTGGCGGATCCTCAAGCAGAGCAAGGGCGGCCTGCGGCAGACGCGCAACGCCGTGGTGGAGGGCTGCACCAAGTGCGAGAAGCTGCAGTGCGACCGCACAGTGGGCTACGGCGGATCTCCGGACGAGTCGGGCGAGACCACGCTGGACGCCATGGTCATGGACGGCAGCACCTTGGATGTGGGCGCAGTGGCCGGGCTGCGGCGCATAAAGGACGCCATCAAGGTGGCCCGTCATGTGCTGGAGCACACTCAGCACACCATGCTGGTGGGCGATGCGGCGTCCGCCTTTGCCAACGCCATGGGATTCGAGTCGGAGTCGCTGGTCACGCCGGAGTCGAAGGACATGTGGCAGCAGTGGACGGCCGAGAACTGCCAGCCGAACTTCTGGTGGAACGTGCACCCGGATCCCAAGGTCTCGTGCGGTCCGTACAAACCTCGACCAACCCCACTGACCCGCTGGAAAGAGGATCGGGCTCGAAATGAGTACGAGATCGGGCGCAAGAACCACGACACCATCGGCATGATAGCCATCGACGTGGAGGGCAACATCCATGCGGGCACCTCCACCAACGGGGCACGCCACAAGATTCCCGGACGGGTCGGGGATTCCCCGATTCCGGGTGCAGGTGGCTATGCGGACAACGAGGTGGGTGCCGCTGTGGCCACCGGAGACGGAGATGTGATGATGCGCTTCCTGCCCTCGCTCCTCGCTGTGGAGGCCATGCGTTTGGGAAAGCCGCCTGCAGAGGCCGCCGAAGTGGGCATCCGGAGGATAATGAAGCGCCACAAGGACTTCATGGGCGCTGTCATCGCCGTGGATCGCCTGGGAAACTATGCAGCCGCCTGTCACGGGTTGGAGGAGTTCCCCTTCATGGTCAGTAGTCCAGCACGGCCGGATAAGCCGACCCGCCTGGAAACGGTCAAGTGCATTGCAAATCCGGAAAAATTAAATATAGTGCAGATGGGAAGTGTTAAAAATTTGTAATAAAAATGTAATTTGAATTTCATCCACTCTAATTTAGTGTTGAGCAACGGTTGTTTATGTAGCAATAGTAGAAGATATCCTTATATAGTCAATGTGGTCACCCCAAAACACAGTGCTACTCCTATTAAACTATTAAAAAATATGTTTTAAATTTACAACTAGATACAAAAGAGAGGTCAATATATATAATATATTGTTACAAAATAGGGTTAAAAGTAATATTAAATGAATAATATTGCATTAAGTAGAAGATAAAAAACAATTAAAAATCGCTGATGACAGTACATGAACAAAATTTAAAAAATTGTACTATTTTTTTACTACGAAATCGTGTGCAAATTTCGTAAAGCTATAGAATTCATTCTGGTTACTTTTTATAAATATTTATTTTGTGTTTACTGACTTGAAATTTACTGTACCAAATGGCGGCATTTTCGGTATTTGCGCGTGGCACGGTCACATTTTCCGCCAAATTACCGACGCCAAATACAGAAGAGGAAAAGAGAAGCGAAAGGTGCAAAGCGGAGAGCGAAAAGCCAAGCGAAAAAAAAGGCGGCTGCAAACAAACCAAATTACTATATTACATTTTTCGTGGCTCGCGGTGTAAACAAAAAAGCCTCCAAAATTATTAAGAACGCGCAACCAGCGGGCCGCAAGTCGCTGACTAAGATGGCAATTCAACTGGACAAGATTCTGCAGGACATCGCCAAGGAGAAGGTGCTGCATCCAAACAATGGCGGCTCGAGCAAGCAGGAGCAGGAGGAGGCGTGGGCCAGGATTGGGCGCCTCAACAAGCTGTCCGTGCACGAGTCGCGCTCCATCTTCATTGTGCTGCAGAAGAAGTACGAGCAGGAGAAGCTCAAGGGCAACTCGGCGTGGAAGCTGTTCGGCCTGATGCACCAGATCCACCAGGAGCCCAAGGTCACAGTCAAGGAGGAAGAGTGAGTGCTGGCACTAGTCTAATTATCATAAGAATAACTAAATTTTAATACCCCCGCAGCGAACACGGGCCCATGGACGAGGTGGAGGAGTACGAGATGCTGGAGGTGCAGGAGCCGGAGGAGGACGACGAGGCCAACCAGTACGGACAGCCGGGCAACTCCACCGGATCGGCCTCCTCCGACGGCGAGAGCCCCACAAAGTCTCACAGCACCGGCTCGCCGGACAAGGACGAACGGACATACACAAAGCCCAACGTGGACACTCCGCGACCGGCCTTCGAGGAGAAGAAGCTGCTCAATACGCTGGCCAACAACACACCGCGCTCCACGACGAATAGCTCGCTGTCTGCCGCCGCAGCAGTGCTCCAGAAGAAGGGTATCACCGTGAAGAAAACGCCAGCAGCAGCAGCAACAGGAGCTGCGCCGAAATCCACGTTGAGCCAGCCGCCACCAGTCAGTGGCCAGAGATCTGGCTCCTCGCGCACCACCATCCAGCTGCCAGATTCCCTGAAGCGCAAACTCTCCGAGGAGTACACATCCTCCGCGGCACACAAAAAGCAGACCAAGACTACAAGCCCCAAGCAGGCAGCTCCGCCTGCAGCCGCCACTCCAGCGCCTGCCGTCGTGCCAGAGAACTTGCCGGCCGCCACTGTGGTGCACACAACCACTGCCCAGCTGATGCAGGTGAAGAAGGAGCGCGAGGACAACCAGACGCCGCCGCCGGGCATCAACATCATCACCATTCCGGCGTCGCAACAGATCAACGGTGGCGGCGGCGGTGGAGGGCCCACCTCGTCGACGGCCGCCACGATTGCTTCCACCTCAGTGGCCTCCACCAACGGCTTCTCGCCGCACATCGAGGAGCTGGACTTCAAGAACGACATCATCTTCGACTCGAAAATCAACGCCGCCTCCTCCAACGCACCCGAGATTATCAACCTTGGCAACTTCGACAACTCGCTGCCGCCGACCTTCTTCAAGAACTTGTGCAACTCGTCGCGGCACGAGTCGCTCGGACTGTACGTGGCCAATGTGATGAACCGACTCTCTTCGCGAGCCTCCGCCAAGCTGGAGCTGGGCATTTTGCGCGCCATACTCGATGTGCAGAGCGACGAACTGGAGCAGTAGACCGACTGATACTCGCAATTTAAATGATTACACACAGCATACATATTAGACAAACTCGAAAGTAGTTATGTAGACCTGCCTAAACCCTTTCTCCTGGTTAATGTATTATTTAATTCGTGTTTAAACGTCTGCCTTGCGGTCCTGCACATTGTATTTAAACACGGTTCGGCTCGATATGGTTGCTCATACCGACTTGGGAACGAATTTAAAGACGACTCCGTGCATGCCACAACGCCGAAGATTAAATATAATTGTAAGTTTGAAATTTTAGCCGCGTTTTGAGGCGAGTTCGCGTGTCCCTAGCTTAAGGTCCAATGTGTCACTTGATTTTAAAATACGTTCATATGCAAATAAAGCTACATAACTTACTTGAATTGCGCGTGAAAAGCCGTTTATCCGGATGCCAGATGTAAACGACTGCTTCGTTGGATTCCTGCTCCCAAATAGTCAGTGCATCATCGTTACCCAAGGAGGTAGTCTTCATAAGTGCGGCCTTGTGAGGCAGCTGCTGCAGCAGGATAAAGTTCTCAAGCACTTTTGGTGGCTCTGCGGGGTTAGGTAAGTAAGTTATAAAAGCCCAAAATTGTCAATGATTTTATTATTTACTTACTGGCCAATCTGTTCCTTACAGCATCCACATTTTCCTGAAGCTGCTGCCAAGTCTCAATGGAATTCCTGATGACGCCCCGTTTGCTTTTGTAATCCTTATCCAAGAGGCCATTTCCACTGCCCACTTCGTAATGGCCCACGGTAAGTGGCTGGGTGAAGATCAATTGGCTCTCAACGTGAAGATTCTGGCGGTTTTGTGCCTTGTTAGTCAGTAGCTCGTTTACTGGCAGGCCATTGACGGAATCCACCCAGAGATTCTCCACATTGTTGCTGTAGATTTGCTGCCGCTCGGGCAGACTGTTGGCCACCAGCAGAGATCCCCGCACTTCCTGATCTTTGTCCCGCAAAAGAAGCTTATCCGGCTGCCACAGGACACCATTTACTGGTCCCTTTACGTTAAGATCATTGTAGAGGTTCACGTTATCCATAATGGTAGTGCCAGCGATGCTGTGATTTCCGTAGAGATAGGCTGCTTCATTTACCCACTTGGCCATTGGAACCTCTGCCACTTGACTTTCTGGTGTAATGTGCAGGCGATTTATAGAGGCGCCTTTAACAACTTTCAGTGCCTCAATAGTCAGAGAAGGATTGCTGCTGTCGTTGTATTGGGCCACTCTAGCTACATCATCAGCTAGGTTTAACTGATTTATCAGGACATTCCTTAAATTCCCCGAAACCGAGGCCTCCGCCAGTTTCCATTGCCCACTAACGGCGTGAACTCCGGCTGTTTTTAAAGTGTGCGCAACAAAATCATCGAAATCCAGTGAGAAGTTGCTAAGAAGTTTAATTTTAGAATATAAATATTTGAAATGCCGTAAATGTCAAACGCAAATTCTTAAGCTAAAACTGGTTAACAAGTTTTTTAAAAGGCTGGTAAGGTAATAAAGGTAAGTTAATGATTCAAAAATCATTATTTCTTAAAGCTGAAAGAGTATGTTATAATTTTTTTAATTATCCCTTAAACGCCCCTTAATTAATCTCAACTATAATACAATATAGCAAAGTTTAAAATAAGGTTATCAAACCGTTATTTTCAATAAAACCTTTATAAATTAAATAAAATAAAACTCATCTAAATAGTGTTATGTCCAAAAACACATGATCTAATAGCTAATTTTGAATTCTCAAATTAATGTAAACATCGGATAGAGTTTAGAAAACCGTTATTAGGCCATCGATATATCGACGCAACTGCCATCTCTAGTTCCCAGGCGTTTGGGATTCCATCGAAGGCGTTTTTGTTGTTTCAAACCACAAACCTCTGCTGTGCCGAAACTGCCCGACCGTAAAAAGTGCATTTAACCAAACCCAATCAGCGACCAATTCACGAGGTAATTAGGCACACCTGCAGTGTTAATTACGTTGCCCGTCTCTCCCCGCTCCACCGTGCGAATTGCAAACGTGTACAGAAATTTCACCTGCCAAACGGAATGCACAGCTGACTTGTGCGAGTGCAGTGCCTGCAAAACTGTTAGCGCGTAAACAATTGCGAAAGTGAAACGTGATATGTGTGTGTGCCCATTACCCCTGTCCATTTACCCATTTCCCTTTGCCCCGCGATCACTTGGTGCGATCCACTCACCTGGCGGTGCCCTTTACTAGTGCGTCACCATTGCCACGTCGTAGTTCCACGTAGTTGGCCGTCGGAGGCTGTGCGAACGTGACGTCATGCTGGAAACTCAGGGGAGTTTTCATCTGATTGCTGCGCGTACGGCTGAAATAGTTGTGCCTGATGTGGTCCACATGGTGCCCATTGATGGGTCCCTAGGGGAAAAGATTGTATTGTATTGATAGTATAGCTTTTGGCCATGGGGTGAATAATAATCGGACCTGGAACTCCAGCAGGCCCTCAATTTGAGCGGAATCCACTGCCAATCCTCGTAGCTCAATCTGCTCGTTGTCCAGCCACACTTCATCCAGCAGCTGGTTCAAAACCTGACCATTCAGCAGGCGGTAAGAGGGTGCCCCGGCAAACTTCACGTTCTCCGCCACAAAGGTGTCCATGCCATGCCCACTTAAATACTTTTCCAACGGCTCCAGGGGATAGCCATTCAGGCTGGTTAGGTTGCACAAGTCGGCTGCCTCCAAGCTACCTTCTATGCTAACTGGAGCGGTGAGGTGACCCCCACCTGTTTGGTAAAAAACATCCTCCGGAACGCGCAGGCCATTCAGTTGACCCAACTGGAGCTCCGATTGCAACACAATGGGATTCTCTAAGAGGTAAAGTTTAAAATACATTCTTATCTAAGTGAAAATTCTAAGGCTCACCAAATCGCACTGCTTGCAGGTGCTCCGATCCATTGAGTCTGTAGCTGCGGGTCACTAGATCGTCCAAAGTGTGGTTGTTTAGTTGTCCACTTAGCCAGATGCCCTGGTCGCTGTCCAGCGAAGCCACTATTTGGGGAGCCGTGAAATTCTGATCTCCTACGGACTCCAGCCAGCAGCGACCAAATTGTTGGGCTGATATTCCATTCAGGGAGTTGCCAAAGCTCAGTGAACTGATATTAACCTCGTGCTCGAAGCTGAAGTCACCCACGTATTTGATGTTGCCAGCCAGTTGCTGCAACTGCTGCTCCAAGTGGGCCACTTTCACCTGGTTTATGTTGCCATTGAGCCACAGGTTCTGGGCATGGATGGTGCCATTGAAGTTGGCCGGCAGATGCCAGCTGTCCAGCGATTTGCTACCATGTTCGTAGATGGCGGACAGTGGTTGGCCCAGGAGGCGGCCATTTAAGTGCAGATCTTCCACACTTATCTCCTCAGCATCCAATTGGTTGACATAAAGGGTTCCATTTGACTTCTGATCTTTGCCAACTTGAAGGTAGTCCTCCAATGCCAAGCCATTTAATACAATTTCGGTTGCATTTACTTGGTCCACTTGCAAGGCTTGCAATTGAATAGGAGTTGAAATAGTTTGGTTTCCACTCTTCGTGAGCAGCATTTCCGGAAGGCTCTCCGTATCGATGCCATTGAGCCACTTGACCTCACCGAACCCATCAACTATCTCCACATTCTGGGGAAATACCTTATTTGCCTGCACCAACTGCACTTCATTCACATTTAGTTTAACCAGATTTTGCAGATCTTGGGTGTTCAGGAAGCTCAGTTCCGTATCGTTGGCAATGAGGGGCTGAAGAAAGTTTAGATTCACATCATCCAGAGGTTCATCCAGTCGAAGGGCTCGTGTTAAAGTTTCTGCTGCAGATCGTTGGGATGGCTCATCCACCAAATCTCTCATTTGCAGCAGTCGTCCAATGGTCACATCACCATCTATAACGAAATCGCCCTGGAGTTGCAGGGATTTGTGGGTTACCTTTGCCGGCGATATGGCTCTCAGTTCAGCGCCCATCATTTGACCCTAAAAGGAGAGTCGATTTATTTTAAAGTGCACTATACATGGTAAATGACCCACCGCAATGGTGATTGGTTCCAGGACGCGAACATTCTCGAATCGCTTGGAACCCTCGATGACCTGAGTGTGATTGGCCTGCTTGAGCAGCACATCAAAGCGCTGGCGATCGACGTGGATGTGGTTAAGCCTCTGGTTGACAAGCAGCTGGTTCACCTGGATGGGCTGGGCAAACTGAACATCCTGCTGGACAATGAAGTTGCCACCATCCACCGGGATGAGCTGACCCACTGGTCGATTATTGACCTCGTTACTGTTGACCTGGACAGCTTCGGATTTGAGATGCTCTACATCTATGGCTGCCTTGATGAACTGCACACTTGTGCCATGGCGTTTTAGCGTCTGATCCAAGAGATCTTTCCACTTCACGCCATTGAACTTGCCCTCCAGTGTTAGATTTTTCACTATCAGTTCTTCTAGGAGTGGTTTATTTTGTTTTCTTGCGGGTTCAGTGAACTTCTCGCTCACAAAAACTTTACTGGCGGTTACGGACTCGTAAACAGGGTTCTTTGTATCAACTCCATTGATACGATCTGCTTGGACGGTTCCGTGCACCACCAGAGTGTCCACTGTCACCTCCTTGAAGACGTACTCCTCATTCGGTTTGTCAGCGGATCTGGGATGTCTGGAGCTGGCTGAGATTGCCTTTAGTTCCAGCGCATCTAAAGCCTTCTTAATTAACTGCAAAGCCTTCCAGTATTTCGGTGTTAGATTCATGTGCTTATCCTCAAACTTTAAAGTGATGAAAATATATAAACCTTACTTATTGATATAAATGTATTTTGGTATTGCAACTTACCGAATTAGCTTTCACTTGTTTGATCACGGACCATTGCAGTTTCTCTTCACGTTTTCTCAGCTTTTCCTATAAACTTAAAGGTTTAAGTCACGGAATCTTGTAATTAACTCTACTCACCTCCAGTTTTTCCGAAAGCTGTTCCACTTTCACTTGCTCCAATTGCTTTCTTTTCTCTCTAGCCCAGTCTATGATTTGCTGGCGAAGAATATTAGCGTGTTGATCCTGTTTGTAAAGTGGCTGGAAGATATTCGTCTCATTGGCTGCCATATTCTCATTGGCAATCACTAAAAAAGCTTAGGTTTTAGCTTTGGAAATATTAAAATCGCAAAGATATCTTACCCAAATAGCTATGCTCGCCCTCCTCATAACTTCTCATTCTGGCCACTCCACGACTCAAGGCTCCTTCGGTGAACTGCACCTTGGACTCCTCGAATCGCCAGTCATTGAGGTTGTAGATCCTGACATCCTGCTTGTTACAGGCCACCAGCAGTAGGAACTTTTCGGAGAGGGAGTGCTGAAAGATAAGGGTACTATGAGAATGCCACGAAATGGTACTGAAAACCAAAGATACCTGAACCGGCAGAAGGCGTTCTAATGCAAAGAAACTCAGTCGCTGGTAGGGAACAAACTGGCCCTTTTCGAAGACATAGACAACAGTGTCGGCCTCGCCCACTTCGGCGCCGGAACCGCCGATTGTGTTGCCCAGGATGAGGAAGTGCCTGCGACTGACCTCGTTCACCGGCAGACTGAAGTACTTCACGTCCACGGCTCCATTGCTGCGCAGTCGCTGGAAGAGCTGGAATCTCTGGGCCTGGGCATCCCACCTGAAGATCTCCGACCGTGTGGCAGTGCGCCCCTCTGCATCCGCATAGTTGGCCACGGCCACGTAGTCGTTGTAGTCAATGCCGAAGGCCTCCACTCGGCGAGCATTGCTGCAGGGGATGGCGCCCAGTCGCTGGAAACTCCTGCCCATCCACTTGAAGTAGGGACACTGTGCACCCGAGTCAAAGGCCTGCAGAAGGGTCAGCTCCTGGCTGCTGATCCGCAGGTACATGCCCCGCATCTTTGTGCCCGAAAAGTATTGCACCGTTCGTATGCCCGTTTCGGGGGAGAGCTCATAGATGGGCGATCCTTCGCGAGCATGTCTCAATGGTTCCGATAGATTGTAGCTCACAGCTATGTAGCCACGTCCAGCGAAGGCCAGACAATCAAGAGCCACCGCCTTGGGAGCAGCCATCTGCACTTGCAGTTGGTAGTCCTGTTCAGCTGGACGCCAGGCATACACGGCAAACTGGCGCACTCCGTCCGCATTTTTGTGCAGAGCCGTAGCGTACTTCACACTGGCCAGCTGGAGCATGCAGATGTCCAGGGGAAAGGGCACTGGCACGGAGGCCACTCGCGTTAGGCCATCGAAACTGAAGCTAGCTGGGGATTAGGGAGTAAACACTTTAACTTTCTTACACAACAACTTAATTGCTAAGATTCTCCTCCATCTTGTTACGACTTTAAATCACTTTCATCTCGAAATTAGGATCTTAAGCCGTCCGCTGACTAAACCAAACAATTCTCTCTGACTCTAAACTCTAACTCTAACTCTAACTCTCCGTCAGCCATGGCCGAGGAGGAGTTGCAGACCTACCGCCGCTGCATTGGCCAGCAGCTGGAGGAGCTGGAGCTGCTGAGCTCCATATACTGCGCCGCCGGAGAGCTGCAGCTGCTCGATGCCGGGGTGGTGGCCGATTTCAATGAGTTTCTCGAGGAGAATAAGGACAAACCCACCGCCGCCAGTCTTCTATCGCATCTGGAGTATGTGGTGAAGTTGAGTCTGCCCGCCAAGCAAAGCGTGGAAGTTCGCGTGGAGCTGCCCCATCTGTATCCGATTCTGGAGCAGCCACTGGTCAGTGTGCACACTCCATTGCTGGGGAAATCCAAAGAGCAGCGTCTGAAGATTGACATGGAGCAGTACCAGAGCCAGAGGCGGCAGGAAGACGACGAGCCGTATATTTTCCAGCTTCTAAGCTGGCTGCAGGAGTACATCGAGGAGCTCATAAAGCGACCGGCTGCGGAGTTTGTGGAGACATCGGCGGAGCCAGATCAGCCGCCAGATCAGCCAAAGCCCGCTGCCTCGCAACTCGAGCGTATATGGATCTACTCGCATCACATCAAATCCACCGCCAAGCGGCAAGAACTCATTCGCCAGGCGCGCCAGTTGCAACTCACTGGCTTCAGTAGACCCGGAAAACCGGGCATCATCTGCGTGGAAGGTGAGGCCGAGAATGTCCAGACCTTCTGGCGCACCATTAGGGCGCTTCGATGGCAAAAGATCAGCCTGGTGCGAACGGAGCCACGACAGCGCAGGCGGGGATTCGAGGACTTTAGCGAACAGCTCTTCAACGCCGCGGAGGGAGTGATGAACATGGGCCAGTTCATCCGGTTCCTCGAGGAGCACGGATTCGGCTACATGAAGTCTGAATTGTTTGGTTTAGCCTGAGCGGAATGGCCCCACCCCCAAAAATTCTAGTTGTAAATAAAGTTTGTTATATGAGATCAGTTCAAACCTTGGTCGAAAAACTGAGACACATTCGCGGCCCGTTTGTTGTGAATCGATTCCTGATCGGAGCTGAGGAAATGTGTGGGATAGGTTTCCTGGAAGCTAACTTCAAAACTTCGCCCCTGGGCAAATGCATCCGCAAAGATTAGTATAAACAAAACGCAAAACATTTGATACATATATATTTGTGCGAAACAAAACGAAACACTCAAACTGCACCACGTGCACTGATCGGTAACTAATTTTTACTACCAAGTGTGGATTTGTAAACGGTTCTTAAAGCTCTGGTTTCAGAGATAAAGACAGCTGTTTGAGTTCCCTTTAGTTTGGTGGGTATATCGGAACTGATATGAGGCTAATTCATATGTATGTTCATTTATATTGTTATAAAATGTATCATAAGATTTAGAAAACTCAAATCTTAGGATTTAAAATTTCCTATATATACCCATCAGCCTCAATTTCTGAGGATAGTACATCAGCGGCATCATCTCGACTTCCCTCAGTTGTCCTGGCTATGGCTTCCTCTGAGGATATATCCTTGCTCATATCCTCCTCAACATTTTTTGGCTGCTGTGGCTCCTCCATCTTACGTTTGCCCTTTTTCATGAAAGCGCAGTAGCAGCAGTGTTTCGATGTTTTGGAAACCTTCTTCATTTTCCCAGCTGCTCGCCACCGACGAACCCAGGAGATTTGATAGTAGGCCCGCCTAAAGTTCTCGTTGTTGAAACCATAGATGAGCGGATTGACGGCGGCATTGAGAAACATCAAGTACTGTGAAATGTACCAGAAGATTTGCATTCCACTGCTCACGGAGACATCCGCGGCAAAGTATTTCTCACGTAGAACCACGAGGATGGTGAAGGGCAGCCGGAGAACTGCAAAAACCACGACCACGATGAAGAGCGTTTTGGCCACGCTGCGTTTGTAGCTGACTGTTAGGGGATTCTCGCGACGCAGGACTCGTTTTTCATACCGATCCAGCTGGTTGGGACGTAGTTCATCAGAAGAAGTTCATAGATGATTGTCCATGCTTACCTTATAGAAGATGGCTATGTAGCAGATGAGCATGATGCCCAGTGGCAGCCACACCAGAATGGTAATCAGCACATACCAGTATTTGGGCAGCACTACGGTGTTCTCCTTGCAATAACGCTCCGTGAAGTTCTTCCACACCCGCACCCTGTACGCTCGATACAGAGCCAGAGGAGAGGCCAACAGGATGCCCAGAACCCAGGTGCAGACCACCACGATTTGAGCTCCTCGCACAGTGAGTCTCGTCTCCATGGGCAGCACGATGGCCGTGAGGCGATCGTAGCTGACCACCGACAGATTGAGCACGGCTGTGATGAGGAACACCACCACGAGGAAGCCCTCCAGCTTGCAGCCCACGCCGCCCAACTGGTAGTTCTGATAGAAGTCGTTCACCATGAACATGGCCGGGCAGATGGCCAGCGTGAGCAGGTCCGCCACGGCCATGTTGGCAATGATCAGGTTGGTGGGCGACCGCAAGGAGCGATTGACGGCTATCAGGTAGACCATGGTGATGTTACCATACAGACCAAAGGCAATCAGCGGCAGGAAAGTGCCGATCTTCAAGGTGATTTCACCATTCGATTTGTGCAGCCAGATGCGCTCCGCTGGGAAGTCCCACTTGCTGAAGTCGAACTAAAGGAGAAACATTTACAGCGAAGATAGCTACAGAGCTCTTACTCTCACCAACTTCATCGTTGCTTGAATTGGTGCCCATTCCGTTGGCTTCCTGCTCCGATGCCTTCTGCAGAGGAACTGGTTTACCCACCAAATTAACATGACCAATAACTGATCCCACATAAGTCCAGGAGCTGATTGACGAAGCCATTAACAAGTGTCACAGATAGCGGTCGCTAAAAGCTAATGGTTCTGCGATTTGGCCATCTGTTGCGCCTCTCTCCGTGATTCTCATAAAGTCAATGTAAGCCCTTTTGAGGTTTGCATTTGGCGCATTTAATTGAGACATTTTCACCCTCTCGTTAAACAATTATTTTTGAACACTTTGGATTTTAATAAATGTCGAGTATGCTGATGTTGCCTCTCTCCGCGATTTTCATAAAGTCAATGTAAGCCCTTTTGAGGTTTGCATTTGGCGCATTTAATTAAGACATTTTCACACTCTCGTTAAACAACTATTTTTGAACACTTTGGATTTTAATCAATGTCGAGTTTGCGGAAGGAGCCCTCAACACCGAAAATGGAGTCGGCACTGACACGCTTTCCAGGACGCAGATGCTCATCCACTCCGTACTGGGAATCCTCCGCGAAATAACTCTTGTAGCTGAGCAATTGCTTTTCGGCTTCCGCCTGGATATCAGCAATACGTCCATTGCTGCCGCCATATTCCTCGGGGAGATATTCACGTGGTATGACCTCGTATAGTTGCTCCAGATTCTTGTACACGTGAAACTGTGAAAGGCAAAGGGTTAGTCATCAGATAAATTGTAGTCTAATCTAGTCTAAAAGTTAGTCGTGCTAACTGATATATCTTAATGCTATTTCCGTGTGTGTAAATATTTCTCTCTAGGCCTCCGCCTAACGTTTCAATGATAAGAAACCATGTGCGTGGTCAACTGACCTTAGGCAATGCCTTTCCACCTGCTGCACTTGACAGTATGCGAGCATTAATTGCTTTAATTTGTGAAATATTAATTAACAGTTCAAGGGTGAGAGAGCGGCAGAGTGCCACTCGGCGCTTATCAGCGCTGCCTGCCAGACCCACTGATAATCCGCGTGAAGTGTCCGATAAGCGACGGAAATAAACTAGCAAAAGTGCCTGCCTGTCCACTACTCACCCGTTGCTGGAGCTTGCTGGGCATGAGGCTCTTGGCCAGATTCAATAGGGCCACCCCCTCCTTGGGGCAGTTGATCAGGTGGACTCCCTTCAGGCGAGTGGGCTGAGCCTTCTCCGCGAATATGCCCATCTTCTTGATCAGCGTGAAGTCCAGTTGGGCCAGAAAGCTCAGGCTCATTTTGGCCATGTCGATGATCTCGATGTAGCCACTAATGTTGCTGTTGTCATCCTCACGAACGGCATGTTCCGACAACATGGTTTGGTAGCGGAAGAGATCCAGCAACTTGAACTTCTTGGGATCCAATTTCTCGTAGTTTGTGAGCTGCAGGCGAGGGCCTCCCTCTCCCCAGGGGTTTGGCAATCGTACATAGGTTCTGTAAAAGATTTCTTTGTTATCCTTTATCCTTTAACCTTAATTGGATTGGAGAACCTGCACTCACCCCGTTCGACACAAAGCTAGATTCTTCTCGTCCACCACTCGACTGGCAAACAGTTCCGGCATTAGCGTCTTGATGGTGTAGAAATGGTCCAGCTTGGACTTGGTCTTCTCCAGGCTGAATTTGCAGCCTCGTAGGAAGCCCACCAGGAACTGGTCATCCTGTCGTGCCCTGAGATGCGGCTGCTTGGTCAGCCAATCCCGCAGAGCCTCCAGATCGGCGGGCACCCGCTCCTCCACTTCGTTCAGCTCCGATTCGGCAATGCGACGCAGTTCGGCGCTCAGGGGACGCAGTTTGGCCATTTCCGGGAAGGCGCTTGCTTCGTGGCAGCTGGATGGCTACTAAACGCTAGCCCTATTCACCCGGCAGCCGAAATCCCAGGCCGAAACGTAACCGTCAAAAGCTAATCTAATGCCATTAATGGCCACTCATTCAGCTGATAGTGAACTTGGTCGCTCCCGCGGCTCTGCCTCCATCCGATTGTGAACCTGAATCGGAGTCGGAATCCGACCCGATCCGGTGTGTGTGTGTGTGGGCGGTCAAGATTAGATTACGGCTCGACTGCATCGGTGGGGATTTCGTGCAGCTGACGGGGAGAGTGTGGATAGCGAACCACGCCACAGTTCCAAAGAGTGTGGGCATGCAGGCCCTATCTTATCGCCGTATCGAAAGGGCACAGTTGGCTGGAATTACCCAGTTTTGGGTCTTAAAAGTTAATACCAATTCGAGTAGATGGGTTGCAATTTTGAGAAAGAATTATATACATAAATACCAATTTAAGGTGAAATTACAAATCACTAAGTCAAGAATTCTATCGTTAAGCGTATCTAAAACCTTTCATATCAACGAGGTCTTAAAGCAATCAGAACCAGCTTAATCTAAAAACTAGTTGCTTATAACTTCACTACCATTCAACATTTTCTGGAATTGGCTTTTGATTTTATATATCTCTGAAAACAAATAAAAGTTTCACATAAAATTATGGTTGAAATTTTTTGAGCCAGTTTGAGTACTCAAGCCCCTAAAAAATATTATTTCCTGGTTAATTTCAACGCACAAAGTATATAGAACTGTAAGAAAATTTTAAACAAGTTCATAAGGTTAGGTGTATTAAAATATTACCTCTCAGGGGGTTACGCCACCTTGGAAGCCTGAAATCGATGACCAAATTAAATGTTTTTTGCAAAGGAAGTAAAACAAGGAAACGTTTTGAAAACGTTTAAATGCCTACGAAATTTTATCAGGACTTTCCATCGATAGTTATAGTTGAGATGGTATTGAGAATATTGCCTCTCTCGCAGGGCAAGTATACCTCGTACACCAAAATCTCCATCCAACTTTATAAGCAATGTACTGGCTATGATTTATCATAGGGAATACTATTATAAGAACTTAATACGACATTACAATTATATGAAGGAAAAATCGCTATTTTACCCATGTTATATTTTTTATTTCTATAGTCCGCAATTCCATCAAAATTATATATGATATTATGTTCTCCGTAATCTCGGGACTGTCAGAAAGCATTTTGGCTAATAAAAATAATCGATTTTAAAAAAATTCCAAGGTGGCGATACCCCCCAAACTTATATGAATAGTTCAACTAAAATTGAACTTATCATATCTATAAAACAAGGCTATTTGTGTTTGCACTATCGGTCACTGATATCTCCTAATCTGGCGCCACAAGTGGTTTGTCACTGTGAGTTTGCCCCATGTCGCAGGGTGATTTTTTTGGGTACCCTTGCACCAGTGTGCCAGCAGTGCTCGCTATCGGGAGTTGTTCCCGATGCGAACCGATCCGAACCTAGCCGAACGAATGGGAACTCAGTCCAGGCAGGCGGGCACCGACATTTCGGTTAGTCGTGTTCGCACCTGGCCGCAGCACACACACACACCCCTCCGCCTGAGGAAACACACTCCAGAGACCTTTGGCATCGTTACTCAAAATTCAAGGCAAGTTTCGATCGTTCTGCAGATCCCGTGTGACCATGGCCAAGATACGAACGCTGGTGCCGGAGCTGGCCGAGGTGGCTCGATCGCAGCTCGGTGAGGAGTCCTCGAAGATGGTCGCCAAGATCGAGGCCCTGCGCACCTGGATCGCGGAGCAGAGTTACCTGGAGGCGCGGACCGACGATCAGTTCCTGGTGGCCTTCCTGCGATTCTGCCACTGGGATGTGGAGGTGGCCAAAAAGCGGGTGCTCTTCTACTACACCTACAAGTCCAAGGAGCGCGAGCTGCTCAAAGGTCGCCTGGTGGACGATAAGCTGATGGAACTGGCTCGCTCAGGGTGAGTTGGGGGATTCCCCTCTAAGCATTTAAAAGTCGAGACTGTGACCCACTCTTTGTTGTAGAATCTTCGCCACACTACCCAACCCCATTGGCCCTGGTGGCCCCCGCATCCACTTCACACGCATGGGTCACATCGAGCCTTCCAAACACAGTGTCACCGAGATTTTCCGCTTCCACGCCTTCCGCGCCGAAATCGAGCTCAACACGGACGACAACTGGAACGTGTCCGGCGTGGTGGAGATCATGGACTTCACCAAGATCCCCTACTCCCTGGTGCTGCAGTTCGATCCGGGCATGTTCAAGCGGATGAATGCATTTCTAGAGCATGGTATTCCAGCGAATTTAGTGGCCACCCACATTGTAAATGCCTCCAGGGAGACACAGTTTGTGCTGGGTCTCATCCGGAATGTAATGAAGCAGAAGGAGCTGGTGAGTTTGAGGGGGGAATATCTCTAAATAAAAGACTTACAACCCTTTTCTTGCCTTTCCCCCTAGCTGCACATCCACTCCAACCTCGAGTCCCTGCAAAAAGCCATCGGCAAGGAGTATCTGCCCGTCGAAATGGGCGGCGAGAATGGCACCCTCGCGGATGCGGTGTCGCGCTACGAGACCCAGTTGACCGGCTTCTCCACGTACTTCAAGGAAGACGAGCGGTATGGCGTGGACGAGAAACTGCGGGCGGCCAGCGAGAAGGAGCAGGCTCCATTGGTTTCCGGCCTTCCCAGCGATGGAACCTTCCGCAAACTGAACTTCGATTGAGGCGTTGACACCGGGCAGAGCTAGTTGTATATTCTGATGCACATCCTATATGTACGCCCCTCCAATAACACACAGCCCTCTAAACCTACATATATATACACGGAAATGTATAGATAGTACAGCGCTATAGCGATCTTTGGTCATAGCATAACCTGATATTTTATAATTGCAACCATAAAAAAAAGAGAGAAACATCGAAACTAAAAGCAAATTGAACAATATGATAGAACAGTGCACACTAAAATGAAATATGTAGGATGAAAATGGAACGCCATCGAATGGCACAAAAACCTCACATTAATGTCGATTTTAATTTATTGTTGTCCTTATCAACGCACATACTTAAACACATTCTAACGTCCGGTCGCGAGGGGTGTACAGCACATACAAGCTATATACCCGAACGACTTATCCTACCATGATCCCATAATGCATTTTCGTGATGAAATCTTCAACGTCTTCTACTTGCGTGCTAAGTTGTTGTTGGCTTTTATTTAATCGCATACTTTTATACATACGGTTCATGAATATATATATATATACATGTATTTTCTATATTTTTTTCCATTGGTTAAGTGTCGTTTCTACTAATTTTTGATACTAGTTTACACATATATACATGCATCTATATTTATGGATAATACATACATAGTTAAATGACTACAGTTAAAAGTGACAATGTATTGTAGATCCCATGTTGAGTGCGTTAATAAATTAAAGCGAATTTGTTTAAATGTCGGTACAACTAAAACTTGTAGCATATGTTGTATTCCATTTCTATATTTATGGGGTAATAAGCTTTATCTGGTCTAGATAAACGCGCGTTTTTACTGACTTATCGATGTTTGAACTTTAGTTCTGATAAACCGTATCAATATGTCAAATGCTCTATGTTAAAGCATTGAATTTAAATTGTCAAGGGTAATTCTAGCCATCACATTTAAAATGCCTAAGTTTGAATTCATATTTTTACCCGCCCAATTGAAATTCTTGAAAGAGCGGGACAACTATATACTTTCACATGCAGTGTTGAAAAACGACGAAGTTGAACTTTGGACCAGTAGAGAGCTTTTTCTCCAAGCTTTCTGACACTCCATCTGATCTGAACTGTATTATTTTTGTGTTTACCTTATTATTCTAGTTCTGCTGACAAAATAATTAGACAAAATGTCAAAGGCAATTAAGTACTATTATGATTTTCTGTCGCAGCCATCCCGCGCCCTATGGATTGGCATGAAACTGAGCAAGACTCCCTTTGAAGATTGCCCGGTGGCCCTGCGCAAACGTAAGAGTAAACAAAAATAGGTAAATAATAAAGCCGGCTGATGAATTATTTCTGCCAGAGGAGCAATTGACCGACGAATATCGAAACATCAATCGGTTCCAAAAGGTGCCGGCCATTGTGGATGGTAAATTTCAGCTGGGAGAAAGTGTCTCCATAGTGCGGTAAGATTTCTTCTCAATTTCTGGATAGTTTCTGAATTACCATACTACTATATGTTTTAGTTATCTGGCGGACAAGGGTTTCTTCAGCGAGCAGCTGTATCCAAAGTCTCTGGAGGATCGTGCCCGTGTGGATGAGTTCCTGGAATGGCAGCACTTCAATGTTCGTCTGACCTGTGCCACGTTCTTTAGCAAAGTCTGGCTCTTACCGGCCAAGGGATTGGCTCCTGCCCCAAAACCGGAGGTTGTTAAAAAGCTAATTAAGGATGTGGAAGACAACCTGGGTCTTTTGGAACGCCTCTGGCTGGAGAAGGACTTCCTAGTCGGAGATAAACTCACTGTGGCGGATATCTTTGGCGCATCGGAAATCACTCAGATGAGTAAGTCTTTGCTTAAAACTTTTTAACCTATAGCCTTAACGATTTTCCCTTTATAGAGCTGTGCCAGTACAATGTAAACGAAAAGCAATTCCCCAAGGTGGCCAAATGGCTGGAACGCGTCCGAGAGACCACCAATCCCTACCACGATGAGGCCCATAGCTTCCTGTATAAGGTCGCCAAACGGGCAGCCAGTGCCAAAAATTAGTTTTTCAATTACAATCAAGAGGACTCTCGATTTTGTTTTTGCATTTATTAAATTTTTAAGATATCACTGTAACCAGTTTGTGCCTTGTTTTGTGTTTATTGTGTTAAATTTTAATTGTTAAAATTAAACAATTACATAATTGAAATCTTGAACTGAAAAGCTAATAAAGTATTTGTAAAAATAAATCATTTGTAGAGAATAATTGTAACATAAATGCATAATTTATATGATATGCTTTCTGTATTTTTGAAGTTCTTAAGTTAGGAACCCCCCTTTAAATGGACCCCCTAGAGCGAGACAACCATAATGTGCCAACCAGTGCTGCAATGTGGCGCTATTGATCTTTGCACCAGAGCTTTGTTTATTTTCGCTTTTCTCAGCTGGGAGCGATTTCTTTAGTAGCCGGTTTGAATTGAAGACCAGAACAATTGACCGCCATGTCCAAGTCAATTAGATTCTATTACGATTTGTTGTCCCCAACTGCCCGTGGCTTGTGGTTAGCTCTAAAATTGGGCAATAAGCCCATTGAATATTGCCCCATTGCCCTCCGTAAATGTGAGTGAAAGTACATAGAATGTTTATGCTTCGCCGGCTAATTTATGCTTTATTTAGTTGAGCAACTGACCGATGAGTACAAGAAGATCAATCGCTTCCAGAAGGTGCCGGCCATAGTGGATGGTGATTTCCATTTGGCCGAAACGATAGCCATCATACGGTGAGGGATCCACGTATTTTCGAATTGCTTCTTCCATTCATGTCGCACATTGCCCCCTTGTAGTTATCTCGCTGACAAAGGCCAGTTGGATGAAAAGCTTTACCCGAAGTCACTGGAGGCCCGTGCCCGCGTGGATGAGTTCCTGGAGTGGCAGCACCTCAATATCCGACTGGCCTGCTCCATGTTCTTCCGCGATGCCTGGCTGTTTCCCATCAATGGACTGGCAGCCAAACCCAAGCCTGAAAGAATTCAAGAGCTGATCGAGGGCGTGGAGACGAATCTGGGTCTTCTGGAACTCATTTGGCTGGAAAAGGACTTTCTGGTGGGACAGCATATGACGGTGGCTGATCTCGTGGGCGCTTCTGAAATCAATCAACTGAGTGGGTTCAAGTAAATTGGAGAATCTTTAAGGAACTGTATACTAATTATGAAATTTCAGAGATCTGCCAATATAAAGTGGATGAGAAAAAGTTCCCCAAGGTGGCCAAGTGGTTGGATCGTGTCAGAGAAGCCACCAATCCCTACCATGACGAGGGACTAGCCTTTATCAATATGAAAGCAAAGCAGGCAAAGCTCTAAAGACTTGTTTACTTTTGGCGATTCAGAGGAGTCTAGGCCACCTTGTATGTTCTGAGATAACACGTTTGTAGTTGTTTTTCCTCATTTTAGTTATTTAGTTTCGTTCTGATTGCATTTGTACAAAGTTAAAGATTAAAAATTACTATCTGCTATGAAATCTTTCTATGTTAGTCGATATCCAGTTTCCTAAAGGAGCCTTCGATGCCAAACAGGAATTCGGCATTGACGGGTTGTCCTCGTCTCAGCTTCTCGTCGGTGCCATAGGACACCTCCTCCTCGAAGAATGGCTTGTAGTCCAGAAGCTTTGTCCTCCATGTGCTGACCACATCTTGGACGGTTCCATTGCTGCCACCATATTCGGCTGGCAGGCACTCCTTGGGCACATAGTTGTAGAGGCTCTCCAGTTTGGAGTGTATGTGGAACTAACAAATTAACATTGATTATCAAATATTTTCATTATTTTATGTATATAAGAGTGGTCCAAATATGTATTAATATTTTAAGGTCTTCCTCTAATTCATATATAGGGTGTGATTTGATGCATTTCAGGCATTCCCGAAAAATTTGTTGAAAAAATAATGCATTTTAGGGTCTGCATATTAATTTCAAAGTTTATCACTCATACGCACTGTTGTTTTTGATCAGCAATTTTTTTTTAATCCTGGTGGCGTAGACTTGGATGGAAAAGTATTTGAGTTAATAACGAAGTCAACGTATTTTGACTTTAATTTAAGTGAGATTAATAAGTTGACAAAGTGCGAGATAGGTTTATACAAAATTCGGACTGGCTACGAATCGAATGAGTACTTTTAATGGAAACTTTGAGACCATTTTGCAACGCCTTAAATTTGAAATACCTTTTTTTTGGTTTTCGAATAGGTTTTTTTGTTTATTAAAAACTACTATATTCAATGATGAGAGCTCTGTTTTCTTTTTTTTTTGACCACCCCAATGTAGATGTATGAGAAACTCACCCGCTTCCGTATCTTCTCACTCATCAGACTCTTTGCAATGGACATAAACCTCTCGGCGCTGGCGGGAGCATTGACAAAGTGGAAGCCCTTGGGCCTGTAGGGATAGGCCTTGTCACCCAGAACGGCCAGTTTCTTCACCAGCACAGCGTCGAACTGGAACAAGTGACCTGCCCCAACGCCCTTCATATCGATGATCTCCAAAAAGCCGGATATCATGGCATTGTCGTCCTCGCGTATCTGAATCTCACCGATCATGGTGTTCACCTGGACGACCTCGGCAATGGTGTACTTCTTGGAGTCGTACTGGCCGTAGCGGGAGATGTGGATGCGAGGTCCATCTGGTTTCAAGGGCTGTGGCAATCGAAGCAGACAGCTGTAATACAAAGGGAATTGTTTATGTCTAAACTACGGACCCATAGCTACAACAACTCACCCTGTTTCCAGAATGCTCAGTTGCTTCTCGCCCACAAGGCGATTCTTGTAGAGCTCCGGCACGGCTCCCCTCATGGCATAGAAGTTGTCCAACTTCAGCTTGGTCTTCTCCAGACTGTATTTGCAGCCGCGCAGAAAGGCCACCAGGAACTGGGCATCCTGTCTGGCCTTCAGATGCGGCTGCTTGGAGATCCAGGTGCGCAGCGTTTCGATGTCCTCATCGATCCTCTCCGGAACTTCGGCCAGCTCGTCGTGCGCCTTTTTGGCCAACTCTGGACTCAGGCTGCGTATGGCATTCGAATGCTCGTCTGACATGGCTACTTTCCACTTGCGACTAGGCTCCCCTTATCACCACCTGTTCGATGCAAAGCATAGGTTTGATTTATTGAAATTTTTCCATGTGCGATTAGTCAACCGGTCGCTTTTGGCCCCCCCATTTCCGGCTAGTTATGACAGTAACTGGTGTCTTTTTTGGTTCGATTAGATAGTACCCATGCCATATGGCCACCCACTCTTCGTCACTGGAGTTCGACATGGTCTTGGGCGTTGTTTTCGATTAGATTAACATATCTGCCACTTAAGGGGAGATCTAAACCGCCGAAGGATTTCCAATTGGTCACAGTCATAAAATAGCAAATAATTTAATGACAATCTTAAGTCGGAATGTCAAAGTAAAATATTGCTTATCAGCAAGAATCACCTTATCTGTATGGATTATCAACCAATGCAAGGATTATAATAATAGTACCGGCTTAAACACAGTCATAAATATTGAATAACAAACACGGATAAGAAGACACAAAGTCAATCAAATAGATATAGCTTATCAGTGGGGTTCACTGATCTTGTCTACGATTGGATTTACTTGTTCTTAAACAAAAGGCACACAATCTAATATATTAAATGGTAATTAGCTTGGGAAATCAAGAACACACCGGTCCGATAGCAACGAAAGATACCGGGATCACCAATCAGTTGACAAGTGCTCGTAAACCCAGATATCAGGTTGTCTTGCACTGGGGCTTAAAAGCAACCGCACGGGTCTAGCTTTACGTTGTCGCGACCTCTACTCACAATTGTCTTTAATTTAATATTAGCTGTTCTATATACACATATATGCATATGAATGTACCTATGTGCATATATTATATGCGATATTATACGTGATATATGCCGCCTCCTCGCGAAAATCGAGTGTTGAACCGCTGGCTTTGACTGTGGGCGCGCGACTGTCACCGACTTGCCGTGGAATCGCCGATTTTGGGTATTGTTCTGGTTCTGGCTCTGTGTGTGTCTCTGGGGACGATGGAACTGTGGAACTTCGCGAACGTCACGGCTGTGAGGCATGGTGACGCATAACCTAATGACAGTCAAACCGCATCGATACCCAGGTCGAAACAACCGAGCGACTGAGAGATCTCACACTATAGCCATTGTAGCCGAACCAGCTGCTCTGGTGACTGTTACACTAAATTAACACCTTGTGTCAAACGGCAGCTAATGCACGGCGATAAGATAAAGTCCGCGGCGGCCATTAGCAGCGATGTAATCATAACTATACCATTACGATCGGTGGGGATCTAACGCTGGCACAAAGATGAACCGGCAGGAATTGGACATGCCACATTTATAATATATTATTCGATATCCGATATATTAAAGAACGCTCTAAAACTTGCACCTGTTTCACCCGGCATTTTTATCAGCACACTAACTTTTCAGATTTCCTTCAGCCTTGTCTAAACGCTGAGATAACGATATTATCGCTAATGATACATTTGTTTGTTTTTGTTGTGCGATAAAACATATACGACACATTTATATCGAAGAGGGTTCCCATTTAAGTGTTATTTTTTAGCTCCGTCATCATGGTAATGTCAAATTTGTGTACATCAGGGTCGTAGAATTATGGTTGGTAGATATATTTTTGGGGTTTTTTCGACAATCCCTCAGCTGTGCTATTAAAATTGGTTTTTTGTTAAGTCTCTCAAATAAATAATGGTATGGCCCAGTAACAAGTTTGCTTTTGAACATTGGTATTTAAAACAGTTACTAAAAACAATGGTTTTTAAGGGACGACTTAACAACTTGTTTCCGCCGTTTTAAAACAACATAATTTCACGCGAACTTATGTCGTTTGAAAACATTTCGGTAATACTATTTTACAGAAACTTATTAAGGAGTTACAGATTAGTGACCAAAGTGACCAAAAACCTGCAGTTCTGAATCCATAACTTTTTATTCAGGGATCTGATGTCAAAGTTTCGAAGTGGTATATCTTAAAAGTCTTTTGGCTTAGTTCTCTAAAAATCTGCGTTTAAAACTTGGTTTGTAATTTTGGGCCGATTTTTTGAAAATTTCATGATGTAACCCCTTTCTAAATCTCCGAAAAAAGCGACTGTGCAGAAAAGAGAGCAAAAACGTGCAGTTTTAAATCCATAACTTTTCTCTCAGGCATCTGATGACAAAGTGGTATATCTCTTAAGATTCGTGGCTTAAGTCTCTAAAAATCTGCTTTTAAATTTTATTTGAAAATATTAAGTTGTTATTTTTACGATATAACTCCTTAATTAATTTCTGAAAAATAGCATTACAGAAATGGCACCAAAAGCCTACAGTTCTAAGTCCATAACTTTTCTTTCAAGTATCCAATTTCGCAGTGGTATATCTTAAAAGTCTTCTGGTTTAGTTCTCTAAACATCTGCGAATTAAACTTGGTTTGAAATTTCAAGCCGATTTTTTGCAAATTTCATGATGTAACCCCTTTCTAAATCTCCGAAAAAATGGTCTGTGCAGAAAAGTGAGCAAAAACATGCCGTTTTAAATCCATAACTTTTCTCTCAGGTATCTGATGTCAAAGTGGTATATCTCTAAAGATTTGTGACTTAAGCCTCTAAAAATCTGCATTTAAATTTGGTTTGAAAATATTGAAATGTTATTTTTTCGATAAAACTCCTTATTTAATTTCTGAAAATTAGCATTACAGAAATGGCACCAAAAGTCTACAGTTCTAAGTCCATAACTTTTCATTCAAGCATCCAATTCCGCAGTGGTATATCTTAAAAGTGTTCTGGCTTAGTTCTCTAAAAATCTGCGTTTAAAACTTGGTTTGTAATTTCGGGCCGATTTAAACCTCTTTTTTAATGTTCCGTTGTTCCATATAGATAGCTTTAAAACTGAAACGGACGGACGGACATACAGACGGATTTGGCTAGTCGACTTCTGGCTGAAATTCTAATACCCTCTGCAAGGGTATAATATTGCTAAACGCAACTTATTGTTTTAATTGTATTTATTTATTTTATTTTCTGTAAAAAAGTATATAAAAAGATAGTTTGCAGCTTAAGTATCTTATGTAAAATCAACTAGAAACTAACCAAAATGTAAGATTTTCGTTTTCGCTCAGTTTATTTTTCGTTTACAATCGCGCTGAATTTATGATAATATCACATTTACATATAAATAATTAGAAAGGGTCGTCAAAACATGAATAAAAAGCAATGCTATACTTATTTATAAGGCAGTTGTGGTTTCGAATTTCAACATTGAATTTTCGACGCTTCCTGTATGTACGTACTTAAAATATTATTTATTCCCACATCAAGTATACTAATAGTTACTGTATAATCTTGAATATTTATCTTATATATGTATATGGTATATATATATCTGGTAAAACAGCCCTGCTATCTGTCCAATAGATGGCGCCAGTGTGCACAATTGGCAAGTGTCCATGAATAAATCAGCCAGTGGCGAGTCCTAGATCCTTTTATCTGTTTGCGACTCTCACTTGGGTGTTGATTTATTTGCCTTAAATCTAAGGAAAGGCCGCTCGGTGTCGTCTTTGGGGGCATTTAAGCGCCAGACTGTCACACAGTTGCGCTCTGCCATATAGATCCTATTAGATCTGCTCTGGTTTTTATGGTATTAAAAAAACATTTTTTTTTTACATTTTCGAACAGTTTTAAGATTGTATAGAATTTGCAATAGGATTTAAAATTCAATTTTTCCTGATTGCACATCGTTTAATACTCAATATTTTCATATTGAACCAAATCTGGAAAAACTAAAACCAGAACAGATCTTTATGTGTCATTACTAAATCTTTTACTTTATGAAAAATACGAGGCGAACCGTGGTTCTTAATGCTAGAGATCGCTTAGCCTAAGACCTCCATCCAATCTTAACTCCGCCAGATGGTGGTGGCAATCAGGAGGATCGGCAGCAGGATCAGGAGGCTGATCCTGATCCCTTGCTGCGTGGCTCCACTCCTCCCCGTTTCCTCGCTGCTATCGCCCTCGCTTTCCCCCGAAACCAACGACGCCGTCCATCGCTGCTCATCGTCCACCTCGTTTTCACTCCGAACGCACTGCATCCACTTCCGCGACGACAATTTGGGCCTGGCATGGGCCACCTTCATGAGGTCGTCGTTGAACTCCCAGTAGCCCAGGTTCTTGAAGAAGTACGTCTTGCCGTCGGTGTACTGGAAGGCCGCATCGATGTTGTAGCCCACCCCCGACCAGATGGCCATGTCGCGCGGATAGTCCAGCTCCACCTGGCCGGTGTAGTCATCGATGCGCCAGTACAGAGTGCCGCTGGTCAGGTAGGTGCGATTGTTGTGGCCCCACACGAAGGAGGCGTCGATGTGGGTCAGTGTGGGCGGCAGACCCAGGCTGGCCAGCGGCTTCGGGTAGCCAGGCAGCAAGGTCACCGAGTTGAACACATAATACTCACGTCCTGTGGGGAGAATATGCAAATAAAGAATTCGGTTAGAGTGGCAATTCGTCTTGAAACTCAATAGGAACAGTGTTTTGTATAATTGTGTCCATTATCGTAAAAATATTTCTTCTTATAATACACATAAATTCTAAAAAAGTCCCGAATCAATTATTTGAAAAGGTATTTAAAAAATGTAAAGTTTAATACATTTAATTTTAAAAATAGTTCAGGCTACATTACATTACATTAAAATGTTTAAAAAGTGATTGTTTAAGGATTAAAAAATGTTTAGTTTTGAATAATCCCAATTTAGTTAGTTTATTAAAATATAATGGAAGCACAAAGAGTTCTTTTTAAAATAAAAAGTCAGACTACATTATTTAAAATGTAATGTCAAATATTTTAAAATCTTAATAAAAACAAGAAAGAAAGCAAACTTCGGCAAGCCGAAGTTCATATACCCTTGCAGCTATCGCAAGAATTAAATATTTTTGAAAACATTAAAATTATGATTTACTTGCGTATATGTTTAAAAACATTGAAGCTATGACGATTTGCAGCTTAATTATTTGATTGTTCTTTTATATATTTTTAATATTTGTATGGGAGCTATATGATATAGTCGTCCGATTTTGATGAAATTTAAACCATAATTCTGAAATATTTAACCATTGCTATATGTCGAAGAACTAAACAAAAAATTAAAAAACAGCAAAGTTATAATTTTTTTTAAATTATTTTTCTGATTGTTCCTATGGGAGCTATATGCTATAGTCGTCCGATTTTGATGAAATTTTAACCATAATTCTGAAATATTTAACCATTGCTTTATGTCGAAGAACAAAACAAAAAATTAAAAAACAGCAAAGTTATAATTTTTTTTCAATTATTTTTCCGATTGTTCCTATGGGAGCTATATGCTATAGTCGTCCGATTTTGATGAAATTTAAACCATAATTCTGAAATATTTAACCATTGCTATATGTCGAAGAACTAAACAAAAAATTAAAAAACAGCAAAGTTATAATTTTTTTTCAATTATTTTTCCGATTGTTCCTATGGGAGCTATATGCTATAGTCGTCCGATCCGGCTCGTTCCGACTTATATACTACCTGCAATAGAAAGACAACTTTTGGGAAAGTTTCATGTAGATAGCTTTAAAACTGAGAGACTAGTTTGCATATAAACGGACGGACAGACGGACAGACGGACAGACGGACAGACGGACGGACAGACGGACGGACAGACGGACATGGCTAGATCGACTCTACTAGTGATGCTGATCAAGAATATATATACTTTATAGGGTCGGAAACGTCTCCTTCACTGCGTTGCAAACTTCTGACTGAAATTATAATACCCTCTGCAAGGGTATAATTAAATGGAAACAAGAAGGGTTTTCGTTACAATAAATTCTCAAAAAATAATATTAATAATATTTGGAAAGGTTTTTAAATAATTTTTATTTTTTAATAATTAAAGTCTAGTCAGTTTCTGGCACTTAAATGAAAAAATAAAGGGTTCCTATTCTAATAAAAATAATGTCTTTAAATAGTTCAGCATGTATTTTTTGATTAATATTGTTATGTTAAACATTTAAAAACTGTCGGCTTTCAGATTAAAATATGTATTTATAGTCCAATTCAATTTATTTAAGCTTTATGACCACAATTTCCACTTAAGGATATATTTTGTTTACTTACCAATGAAAAAGACAATTTGTCGCTTTTTGTTTTCATATACGGCATCCACGTTGGTGAGGTTCACGGGTAGAGCAGACCAGTGCCTCCTGGTTTCCGTGGGATAGCCAGGGTACAAGCCCGAGGCTCCAATGCGCCAAAGGTACTATGAAAGGAGATGATATATGTAATATTTTGAAAGAGGTTTTTAGGACAAAAGGGATCTTACCGGTCCTCGGAAGATGAACAGTTCGTTGCGGAACATTGAGATGGCATCGTAGTAGGTCATGCAGGTGTTCGGCTTGAGTTTGCGTGGCTTGTTGTTGTTGTTGTGGTGGTGGCTCTGCCGGTGCCCTCCAGTGGCATAAGGCCGGGTTGTGGTTCTCGCAGTGGTTCTTGTTGGGGCGGTTACTGGTTGGCGGTAGCCATTCCGCTCCCGATTCGCAAGCTCCCACTCCTGACGCGCCCGCTCCCGCTCCAGCCGCTCCCGTTCACGTCGGCGATTGTCCTGCTCCTGTCGCTCCTGCTCCTGGCGCTCACGCTCCTTGAGCCTCCGCTCCTGCTCCTGGCGCTCACGCTCCTTAAGCCTCCGCTCCTGCTCGTGGCGCTCCCTGGCCCAATCCCGTTCCTTATTCGGATTACTGTTGGGATTTTGCCTGGGTCTGTAGACGGGTTTCTCCGGCTTAAAGATCAGCGTTCGCATCGTAGTAGTTGTGGTGGTGGTCGAGGGCGTGGTGCGCGGCCTATAGGGTCCCCAGGTCTTCTCCTTGGAGCCGTACAGCTCCTGGATGCCAAGGCGGTCGTCGTCGGGCAGGTTGCCGTCCACCTCGTTGTTCTGGTACCACGGGAACATGATCGCATCCGAGTTCGAGGAGTGGCCCAGACCCAGCGAGTGACCCAGTTCGTGCAGGGCCACGTTCAGAAAATTGGTTCCTGCAACGACAGGACACGGAATGCAACATAAATACGCTGACTGGTTAATGGCGGGTCAAAAAGGGGGGGGTTAAGACGGGCTCGTCGCCTTGACGACATTGTAAGTGGCATAAAAATGGCGACGCTTGCAACATTTTAAAATGGCTGCCAACGTCACGCGTCATGCTGACAATTTTTTATTGGCATTAAAAACCATTAAAAATGCCGAAGCACTGTTTGCCGTTCGCTGGCGTTCTTGGTGCCTCACGGGGTCTGGACTACGGACTCTGGACTCTAGACTGACGATTTATTGTGCTAAATTACAAAAGGCAAGCGGTCGACTGCAGGCAATGCGTCGCCAGTCATGGTCTCCTCTCCTGGGCTCCGAATTTTTGGCCTTCTTCGCATCCCGACCCAATCCCCACCGCAACGTATGGAGCATTTATTGGTTTTGCTCGCGTGTGGTTTCGGGTTTTCATGCCCTCCACATACCAAAAATATTTAGAGTTTTTGGGCCAAAAAACAACAAAAAAAAAAACAAATAAATATCTAAAAAATGGTAATACAAAATTTTACCAAAGCACTAAAAATATTTTTGACAATAAAAAAGGCCTTTTTTTATTGATTTCTTATTTTAAAATTTCTTTTTTTTTACTTTGAAGCATTAATATTTCCCCCTTTGTTAAAAAAGTTTATTATTGTTACAGTTTTTAAAACTTTCATGAAATTCTGTTTAAAAGAAGAATAGAACTTCGCTTCTTCATGTTTAACATATTTGTTTTATCTCAATTTTTTTTTATCTTAAAATTTCTAGTTTTAGAAATTTGTAATTAACCTATAAGCCCAAGAAAATTTGACGTAATCTATTTTAGCGTTTCATATTGCTGACCTGTTCCTTAACTAAAAAAAATGTATATAAATAAATGAAATAATTTGACGAATGCCTCGAGATTTTTATACTAAATAGTTTTTAGAATCTTTTATGCTTTGGTGCATACTATACTATTTCCCGACTGCATATCCAAAATTGCCACGCCTAGTTTGCGTCGCGGGACTATAATTCAATCTGATGCAAGTAATTCACCTCAAAAGTTGGCATGGCCAACTGCGTTGATGAACTGCACTAACATCCACACTTTTACCCACATGTACACCTACCGTGTCTGTCGTCGGAATTGCCATCGAAGTTCCAGGTCTCGTCCGCATCGAAGTGGGCATCTCCGCCACGGTCCTCGCCGGGATAGAAGGCGTGGGCCAGCACCTGACCAGGTCCATCGAATTTATAGCCATCGCCGTGGCCGAGCCTGCAAAAGGGAAATGGCGCAGAGATGCCGGATAAGTTCGGTGTTTTCCGAGAGTTACGAGTTACGAGCACGGCCAGGGGGAAATCATATTCACAGCTTATCTAAAAACAAGCAGCTCCGACATAAACTCTTTGATTCGAACTGGCTCCAGAGTCCAGAGTCCTGAGTCGAGAGCTCCTCACATGCCCATCGACTTTGTCATCGGTGGCATTTCATCATCGCCATCGTTTCATGGATTTAATGCTTGGCTTATTTATCGTTCGCCTGGTTTTAAGTGCAATTTTATGTGCGTTTGTTTATGGCACTAAAGACTCGCTTTTTATGATCTCCCCACCTACTGTGCTTTCCAATCCTCCCTTGAGAACATTGAGTATACGCACCGTGCAAAGAGTATCTGTATGTCGGCCTGGTCGCTGTAGACCTCGCGGAAAGTCAGCTTCGAGTTGTTCTCCCAAACATTCAGGGCTCGGCGCACCAGCACCCGGACCTTCGAGGCATTGGGCATCGTCTGGTTGACCAGGCTGCAAAAGACAGGGAAGACAGGGAAACATGATATCAGCATGCTAAGATATTCCACTTTGTAAGGGTTCCCCACTCTTTTGCATAATCTGAAGCGCCGGAGAAAGTTTCCCACACACACACAGAAAGAAAATTGAGGATCAGTTTGTTATTTAAGCATTTTAAGCCTGAAACTTGCATTGTAAATGAATATTATCGGGGCTGCAACAGAAATCACTGGAGTTTCGCAATCACTTCGTAAAAGTATGCAGTGAAAAATCTACTTTAGTTATTCGGAATCACTAACATAGGTCTTCCGTACTCAAAATATATTGTTGCTTTTTCTAAGACACCTTTAAAATTGATTTCAAAACCCAAGGCTTGTGTCAAACGAAAGAGTTTTAAAATATATAATAAATCTAAATTGGACTCTGGTGAGATCTATAAACAAACAAATTTAAACAAAACACAGCCCTATTCGACTTAAGACTTTCGTTTTAATATATCACTCCTATTTTTACTGTGCATATCTTGTAGGGCCCGTGTCTTTGTCTTGTCTTGGAATATTAAGCTAACCGCTAATATGGTGGCCAGTGCCAACTTTCACCAACCCACCCACACACACTCCACTTTCACTTTGTCATGCTAAAAGTTTCGCTCACTTAAAGACATGGGCGGGCCGGACTTTGGTGGTTTTCACTTAGTTTAGTATTTTGCAAATTCAGCGCAAAGTTTGGCAAACACACACACACACAACACTACAGAGTACCTGGCAACTTGGATGGAAGGAAACCGCAGTGGATTCTGGCTTTTGGGGACAACTCTCCACTGGCGACTTTGCCCGATTTCCGTCCACAAAGTTTGCTCTTCCCTTCGTTCCGGGCAAACTGAGATATCTGTGTGCTGCTGCTGCCGTGTTTCCACATTTTATGCAAATTAGTTATGTTTCTTTTATGCCCAACACACCGCACCCTGGACCCGTCTACTGCTGTTAACTAACGTAGAAAAAAAACCGGACCGAAAGTTGATCCTTTTTTGCGGTTTACCCACGACCTAGCTTGCCTTTCTGCCGTATGCTTTCTCCTTCCCAATTTGCCAGGCTATTTTTTTCGCTTTTCCCCCACCCCGTTTAGCTTTATGGCCAGGATTCCCTAGGTGCGTGTTGTTCTCCAATATGCATTGAGGCATTTAGCCACTTGCAGCCCAAGTGATCGGTTCACTTAAATTGCACAGCCTTGTTTCGTCCCTTCTCTCTGTTAAACCGCCTCGTTTCCAATTACATTTTTTCGAGCCATTAAGCCAAGGGACAGGCAGATTGCTAGACATCAAAAATAGCTTTTCGTTATTGGTGAGCGGGACAGGAAACATACAAATGTCATAGCAAATAAACAAATATGGCTATCCAGATATTAGATATTAGAAATATGGTTTCATTACAATAGAAAATATTTTCCTCAATGAATTGACAATTAAGGGATATAAAATTAAGCTAGTATACATCCTTAACCATAATAAAATTTGAATTTTTAAACTACATTTTATGAATATAAATTTATTATTCATTATTACTTGTTATTCTGTATTACTCATTATTTTGTATTACTCATTCTTCCTTATTAAACTTCATTAAATACTTAGAAATACCCTATAATCTACACATTTGTATCTATAAGATGTTAAGAAGTCCAAGATGCGAAACTTTCTTTCTACAAACTACCAATTTGTATCTATATGATGTAAAGGGCTTCAAGATGCGAAACTTTTCTTCAAAACTGTCTTTATTACTTCTTGATTTTTCATTGGAATGAAATCCAAGGACTCAGCGTAGTTCAGCCTCCACTCATCTTTCGGCAACCGGCTTACTTACTTAGAGGCACACACACACAACCTACGAAAACATCTTTGGGCGCACGTACTGTCAACTGGCGCATGCCACATGTCACATGCCACATGCCACTTGACCTGCCACATGGACAAGGGACCTCGGACCGGCTAAAACTTAAGCCCGAACTCTGACTCTTCTATGTCGACTCCAAACTGAATCACCGTGTCGCAGTTCATTTCCATCGCTCGACAAAAACGTGCTCAATTGCAACGCCATTTGTTTGCTCGGCTGTTGATCTGCCGGGCACAAGCCTTTTGGATTCGGATTTGGAATGGCAAGGGAGCGGAATGGTCTGGGGCTTGACTATGGCTATGGAGACCGTTTGTCGTTTGCTATTTGCGCAGAGCTTGTTGCTTGTTGCCAGGGTAAATTAACTCAAGCCGTACCCCGTTCTGCCACCAAACAGTCTAATCCCCCGTTTGTTGGGTTTGTTGGGACACTCCGACTCTGGCGACCCTTTGTCGTGCTAATTCTGTTGCTGCCGCCTTTGGATTTAAATGCAAACCGCTGCAGTGCATCCGGTCACGTAGCCATTTGCAGTTGCAACAGCCCCACTGACGCAGCTTGACCTCTGTTTGTCTTTGCCATGTCACTCTGTGTGCCCAGCATTTAAATTATTATGAGACCGACAGGCGGCAGGATGTTTTCCGCCGCTTTTCCGGGGGTTGCCGGGGCAGTACGGAGCAGTACGGAAAAGCGGTACGTGCACTAGGGTTTCGGGAAGGGGAGTGCGACTACCTGGTCGTCTGGGAAAACGTGTGCTTCGGCCAATTTGTAGCCTTACACGTAAAACAAACTGAACAATTAGCCAAATGGTTGGAACTCACTCTCTATGGCCTGTGAATAACAAAAGAAAATCATTTGGCTGCGTTGCCCGAGTCTTTCCTGCTGGCCAAACAGCAATACCATTTTTCACCTAATACTTTGGGCACTGAGAATGCTATTCTTGACACACAACCCTTAAAAAATAAATTAAAAAACGTTTTTGAAACATTTAAACACACTTCATTAGGGTTACTTTTAAGCAAAAAAAGTAAAGTGAGAAGACATTTTAATATAATCTACTTTAACAATTTGTAATGAAAAAAATCATTTTTAGGTTTTTGATATCATTATTACCCACATGTACGCTATTATCAGTAGTTATTTCTTTGAATTTATTTCATTCCCGTTAATGCAATTTATAATTTATGATTTCATAATGTTTCTTATCGTTACACTACAAGCATTGACGTCTTCTTTACGATGCCATTGAACTTAGATATTATAGATAATGGGAAAACTTACAGAAACCTCTTCATTGACTCAGTTTGTTACTTTTACTGTAAGATAATATTAGATATTTTCTGGGTTCTCAGAATGATTTTTACCAAGCCCAAAAAGTCAAGAAAAGACAAATAATAAATATGGTGAGTAAAGAAATGTTACTCGAACTTTCTGCATTGCTGTTTCATCGAGGACTTAAAGAAATTTAAGAAGATTTAAGTGATATTCAAATAAATTTGAAATGCCCGGCTTGGCTAAATATCAAGTGCGGTAATAAAAAGGCAGAACTTGTTCGCAAGCCTTTGATATTATCACCGCAAGCAAATCCTTGTCCCTATTTTCCTGTTCATCTCCGCCAATGTCGCCATTACGCCAACCCGTGACAACTGAAGGCAGCCGCATTCGCAATATATCAGCCGACACACACATGCGAATTTTGATTAAAATTGCACCGGGACAGGACAAGCCAGGATATAAGAGGTATCCTCGCAGTCTGTCGTCTGTCGATGGCAATTGATTGAATTGAGCACACCGAGCTATGAAATGTCTGTCCGCAGGCTAACAACTAAATCACCGTCGGCAGTCGGGAAAAGCTTTGCATGAGAAGTCGGCACTAAGTCATGGCCAAAATAGCGGGGGCGGTCAGGTGGACGGGGGGGCGTGGCCGTACCCGTACCCGGAATAAATATGCCGTAATGGAAAAAGCCGGAGGCTCAGACGGCTGCTGCGGGCATTGAATTTTGCAATTTCTCCTCAATCGCATAGATTTTTCTTCCGCGCAGAGACAATTTCGTGCACATTTTACTCGAGTTTTCCTGCCATCAACTTCCGCTGAAAGTTTTTCCAGCTTTCTTCTTTTTTTTGTTAGAGTTTTTTTTTTTAGATTTTCGCTTTGTTGTCAGACAGCTATCGAAAAAGTTTCGCCATGTTTGTGCTGCTGCTGCTGCTGCAGCTAGCAAAATGAGTTTATTTTTTGCTTAATTTCGCACAAATTAAAACGCTTGGAAAAAACGAAATCTTTTATTTTTGGCCATTTTTCCTTGTCGTCGCGGGAAAACTTTGCTTCGCCTTCAAACGCCTTGAAATTTCTAATATACAGAGGATACATCGAGTCAATTACATAACTCTCGTTGCGAGGGTTTTCATAAATATCCAAAAGCTCAGCTGGACGCACTTTCGACACGAGCTGGAAAAGTGCTGCCGGCTGGAAATTTCACCGAAAGTGCAAAGTGGCAGGAGCAGCATGTCTCATAAGTGTCGAGCTCAAGTTGGTTTACTCAGGATATAACAGCCAGAGAGCCACCAAATCGGGGTTAATTTAAAGCCAGCAGCGAAACTTTATCGAGCTCTTGAAAGCCTGCCCTGATTTTCCGGGGTAGCTCATTTCACTTTTGTACACCTGTTTGGAAAATCTCAGCTCCGCCCCATCGACAAACATAATTATGCTTAACCGTCTGCTCAACATTAAAAATGTAAGCCTTTCCGTATGCGATGTGTGTGTGTGTGTGTGAAGGGCCAAAAAGGGTTTTTTGACACCGAGTGGGAGTGGAAAACTCAATAAAATAGCTTAAAAGGCAGGCCAACCACCGCCCGACTAAGTCTTGAAATAATAGCCCGGACAGACTGTCCGGTTTTACGTGGTTTTCCCCCAGCAGATTTTGCCCGAAAGCCACAAAAAGCCACACGCAGAGCGCAGAGGGAAAAACAAATGACTTTGCATCTTGTGTTGTCATAACAAATTTAATTAATAAATAATCGCAATTTGGCCACAGGAGTAATAACGAAAAAAGTACGAGACAGCGAGTAATAAATGGAAATTTGCCATTAGCCAGAGATGTTTGGAAATTGACAGAGTCTCCGAACACACATGCC